GTCACAAAATTCTTAGCTATTAATGATGTTGGGAAAGCAGAACAAATGAAGCTTAAGAAAGCCATCTTAAACAGAAAACATATCAGTGATAACTAGGGGTGGGTATTGCAGAGAATTTTCATATTGTGATATATTGCAATATTTTGCATGAAGTATTTTTAAACAAAAAACTACTTATAATCGAGGTAATGCTTGATTTATAGTGCAAATACACAGCAAAATCACTATGCTTGATTAAGCTTTTATAACAACTTTTATTCATGATTAAAAATAAAAATGTGAATAATATGTGAATAATATTTGGCACAAATGAAAAAAGGAAATATCCGTAGATTTCGAGGGTGTTACATTTGTTGTTTACTAACAATAAATGAAGTTTTCTGAATGCAAGTCAAAATACTGGTTTTCGATCATCGTATCGCAATACCGGGTTTGAGGGGTGGGTTTGAGGGGTTTCGGCGCCTCTAATCCATCTTGTCTGCCTCTTGTTTTGGCTGGTGGTGTATGTTAAGTGAATAGATTTGGGGAGAACACAACTATTCTCTTGAGATTTGCACTAGTCTTGGACAAATTGACTGCTGCCTGTGTCTGTCCCTTATAAATCAATATGGACATGCTGAATAACGGGTTAGTATTGTTAAGTATTTAAGAAGTCTTGTGAAGCTATTTTTGGGTGAACTTGATGTTTTTCTTTGATGGATGTGCTGGCGTGTTGTGTAAGATGCAGAGATAATGTATAGATGATTACAGTCATGATTTGTGGATTACAAAACTTGGATTACACAATGTGTGATCTACAGGTTGTCAAGATTCCAATTTTGAGTGGAAGCCACTGTTCCTGAAAGGCTTAGATTGCTGACTTTATGCACTGGCAATTAAGTCCCTCACTCTGAGTGCATAGGGTTGAGTCCCATCCGAGATTCAAACCAATGCACTCAGAGTGAGGGACTTTATTGCCAGTGCATAAAGTTATCGAATCTCGGATGGGACTCAACCCCAAAGTGTTCTGCTATCTCTACTGTACTAAGAAAGTGTAATCCCTTTAACATAGGTTACATTTGACCAGTTCCTAAAAGGCATTGTTCACAAAACTTGGATGTTTTTTCTGACAACATTCAGAATTTCCATCAGTGGGAGTGTATGACCAGAGCAACTTCAGCTTACCAGCTAGCATTACATTGAACTGTTAATGTCAAATTTATTGCCACTGCAAGCAGTGTATTTGAAAGGTCACCTCAGGGTGTCATTGTTGCAAAAGAAGTGGCTATTCAATTTCACTGTCACGTACATATATTATCCCTTAAGGAAAATAATCTCACAATGATGTAAGCCTGAATGAATTCATACTGAGAAAATAATGGTTCAGAATTGCACATTAGTATGCGAAAGCTACATCAGTCAGTTGGTAACAATTACAGGGTCCTCTTTATTGCCCTGAAAGAGTTAGCTTGTTTCCCAGTGACTCATCTTTGAAAGGCAACCCTGTGAGATCCTAACATTCACTGTTGTTTTTTTCCGGAATGATCCATGTGAGGTAATTCTATACAAAAAATGGAGGCAAATGCACTTTTCCACCCATTAAGCAATCATTCCTATAGTTAACATGCTGCATTCATGTTTACTTACACTGTAGGGCATGGTAAGATATTGCTCTTTGGAATAAGTTGATATGAAAGAATGAATAGGTTGTGTCTGGGTTTTTGATGTGGCAGTTCAGGGTATGAAGGAAAAAATGATTACATTGACTCAAGCATGCTGTACATACATACTGACGTTATGGGCTTTAGCAGTTCTCATTCTTTTATTTCCTCCTATGTCTTTTGTAAAAGCCAGAACCATTCGCTTTCATGGACTGTGTGGTGTATGCAAGATGTGTTTTTGTCTGTCCTGGTACAAGTTATGAGGTTAGAGTTCAGTTTCCATTTCCACAACTGCCTCCTTGTTGAAGTGACTCGAGCAACTGAATGAAGCCTGAGTTGAAGGGAGAGGAGAAGGATGGTGGATTGATTCCTAGGCTGCACCATACCGAAAGACAAGAAAGATGGCTCTTGTTGTTATCATGCCTGTTGTTCGTCACTATGGGGATAGAACAAAAACTGGTCAGTTTGGGGGTCCATATAACATGTCTGAGGCGGGTATCGAACTTATCCTCCTTAGACAGTTGCATTTTATCTCAGTGGACTGTCTATATAACCAGCCTAATCCCGGACTAGTGCCAGCAGCCTCTAATCCCTGAACACAGTTCTTCACCTCACCAATATTTCATGAGTAAGTCCTCAGTAGGATTCCTTCACAATCCCCAGAAAAACGAAGATCACATGGACTGCAGATGGAAAAGACCTTGCTGTCTCCTTTGGCGATGTTAGTTGTTTCTACTGAATGTTGTTGGCCCAAAAGTCTTGTGCTCACTTCCATCTGTGGCAAAGGAAGATATCCCTTGATATGATCCCCTGAAAGATGACAGCATGTCTTCATGGATGGCTTTAGGAATTAGCCCTTTTAGTTGGAGACACTTGATAACAGCGCTGTAGCCAATATCATGCATTTCCACCAACAGAGAATACTTTGTCACTTTGATTGTTACATTAATTTGCTGTCTGGATGTGTGTTTAGTTCTTGTGCAGCCTATAAGGATAGAAAATATGATAGTTGATACATGTGAACAGTTGAGAGTGTACTTTACATATGCATACTGTACACTGCTATGACCTCTCTTTGGTCACTGTACCCTCAGGGGTGGAAATAACTTTTGTACTCCGGTACAGTGGTACAAGTAAAATCACTTGCCCTGATAATTTTTCCACTATTCTAGCTGTTTCATTATCAACACTGAGTTTGAACATTGGTGCATTTTTATTTTCAAGGGCATTTAGTGTGTATTTATTTCACATTAAATATTTTCTGATGACAAAGAAACAGTAGTACCTATCACTTCTTATGGCTTTATCGGACACTTCAGTATTATTGTCTACGATATGAACGAACAAAATTCTGATGTGCACAGTGGTAACACTGTTAATAAAATCATATGACGTCTTACTATTCCAGGTTTTATAGCAATAGCATTATTTGCCAACAGTTTATTACATTTTGAGAAACTGCAAAAACCCGGATGATGCACATCTGTTGCCATCTTTCACTGAGCATTGGACTGAAGGAAAAATTTATTGACTAACATAGCATACTTCTCATATAGTAAGTGTTGTGAAACCTGTTGACTCACACATGCACAACAGGAACACAACCAGATGTTGATTTCCTTCATGCTTGCTAAACATGTTAAGTGGACAGATGAGTATGTGATGACATTTTGCACCCAGCGATGTTATCATAACATGTAGACTGCACTTAAAAACTTTTCCAGAAATCAGGATTTTTTACCATTGTTTAAGTCATACAGATATAGTCTGTTTCTTCTTGAAATTGTATCTTGGAATCATTTTCAGTAGACTTTAGGGATTAAAACTCAGGAGGGTCTGTTAGGTTTCCTTCTATAGTATTTGCACATGGATTCCTCAGAGTCAAATGTTTGAAAAGTGTAATGAGAAAGACCCATTCAGGGTTTTACACAGACTTTTAAAATGGGAGTCATGGTGACTCACAATATTTATTTTGGGGAGTCATTTTCAATATTTGGGAGTCATGAAAATTTAATATTTCTTTGTGTTTATCATTCTCAATCTGTAGCTGTGTATGTCACACCACCAAATGAAACTACAGCATTGTTCAATTCTAACAGGCAGGATAACTGTCTCCTTTGAGTTCTCTGGAACAATCTGACAGCTCTGTAAAAGTCTAACTATCATCTAACAATATCATGTTTTGCTTATCAAATCGATTTTATTGAACTGAATTGTGAGGACCACCTATAAAACTTGCGTCAAGCTTGACTCGAATGATAGTATTTTGAGAGTCGTTAACAAAATTGTTGTCAAATACGCAGGAATCACTGCGTCATGTAAAACCCTGCCCATTGACCATTTCAAACGCTAATTAATGTGTGGACTTGAATATTGGCCAACCAAAACTTGAATATACTTCTTGCAAGTGTCAGAAGTTCCTTGCTGAATGACTGGCAACGCTTGATTGTGAATCTTAATTCTACTCTGCTGAAATACTCTGTGATGATGTAGTATTTTGCTGTGGTGTGTCTGGTTATCAGGGACGCATCTGAAACACTTCCTTCTTCGTGAGCTTGGTTTACCATAGATCCTGATGATGCATGGTTATTTATTGAAGATGCTGAATAGCACTATAAATGTCATAGTTTATTTCCATGGTTACCTCATATACCATGCTAGATAATCCCTAGTTTAGGTAGATGTAACTTAACAACACCAGTTTGTATTTTTTATTTGATATTTTACAAATTTTTATAAGAGACGTGTATGCCAAGTAAGCCATGCCAGCCAGTCTGTTCAATATCTGCTAATGTGAGACTCATAAAATTCAGGAAGGACCAGTAGACTTCCAGTTCCACATTACAAGTGGACTACTACGCAGCAGTAGATGTAGACTAACACATGTAAAGATGAATATAATATCATTCTAGAAGGGCGTTTATGGGAATTTTAAGTCTCTTTAATTTCAACAACTTATAATTAGCATTGTGTTTAAGTTCAGAAAGAGAGTATTGGAGAGTGATTGTATTTTGAATGTATGCTCATTTATGTGAAGTGGTGAAAATAGAGCAGTTTGTGAAACTGACCATGTGTGTATGTATCAAACAGAAGTTATGCAGAACAACGTCCCTCAGCAACTGTTGTTGTGTTGTCCTTAAATATGACAGTTACTGAAGCAGAACTAGAGATGTGAAAGTATGTAACACAAGACATGGACAGTTGGCTCCAACTAATACACGATTGAGGTTACTGGTACCCATAAATCATTCAGACAAGATGCTTCCCATGGCAAAGTGTAACTTGTGTATGACAAGGAATGAAAAGAAAGGTTATTTAAGTTGATGAATAAACTCTACACTGTCATATCTTGTGTTTCAGTATACAGTATGGAGCTTGTTGTGGCTGGGCTGGAACCTCTTTGTTATCTGCATCTATCTGGAGGTGGGAGTGTTAAGAAGGGTAAGTTGCGATACTGTCGAGACTTCAGCCAGCAAGTGACAGGGTACATGAAATAGAGACCCGCCTGTACATACTGTGTCTGTGTGTAATGCAGGGGTGGAAATATCTTTAAAATTGCTAGTGTACTCCAGTACAGGCACATGTAAGATCACTTGCCCTGATAAGTTTTCCACTATACCGTCCGTTTTCTTGTAGATTTTTTTAATAAACAACATTATTAACATTGGAAAGTCAACTGGACACCGGTACAGCGTGATATACAAATTTGCTTTACAAACACTGGACTCGGATGTTGGGCAATGGGTTATTTCCACCCCTGTAATGGCAGATGTACCTGCACTATCAGTGACTGAGAATCCGTCAAATCTTCATACACTGATACAAGAAGGTTATGAGTAAATATTTCCCATTAGTTTCAGTGATGAAGTGAACTAAGTTGTTAGAAAGATAATAATGCCTCGTGGCTTGTAGGGTTGAATTTCCTGATTTATGTAGAGGATAGTTGATATTCTACTCAGCGTTAGACATGTTAGATGTATGTTGATTTACAATATATTATCAATTCAGATATATGAAGAAATCTGCTGCATTTCGTTTCAGGACAAAGAGTTGTACATATTAACAATTGGAACAAAAAATAAGAGTTGGTGGTTGGAACATGGAGTTGGGTGCACTGTGACTAACACCTCGTGGATGAGCTCCGTGCCTCCAGAGGCAAGCCGCCCCATCCCACCGGAGGAGTTTGTGGATGGCTGTATCCTCCAGTACTATTATGTGGAAGTTATTCATGCTGCTGTGCAGTGTCTGTTATCGGTGAGTCCTCCACGTGCCACACAGTCATTTGGCAAATGTGGTAATGGGTAACTTCTTTGAGGGGCATTTTAGAAGTTGGGAAGTACAATAATGACAAATTTTATGGATAACAACTTTTTCTATTTCATAGATGTGACATTTTGATATAGATTCTTGTACTGTCATTGCTGTTTGACAACAGTACTAGAATATGTTTAAAAATGTTGCACTTAGGAAATGCAAGAAATTTTTAGACATAAAATGTGTCTTTATTATGGTAATGGGTAAACTTAAGGCTTATACTTCTTGCAACAAGGCAAAATTATGTGGGGGAAATAATATGAAAAATGTGTTTATCCACTAGCATAGATCCTAAAATATGAATATAGAATTAAAGTGGCAAACTGTATTTTTGCTTTATTTTTAGTCAGTTTTATCATAAAATGGTAAATCTATTGCACTTGATGGTAATTCCTGAAGAAAGTTATTCATCACACTGTTGATGTGTATGGTTGAAAGGTGTCATGAGCCTTTTTGTATATTTTGGGGGTGATCAGATGAAGGTACTATAAGCCAACGGACAGAATATAACTTGGATATGAGCAAAAAATTCCATGCCTGCATCGTTCGGAAAGTAAGTTTGAAATAAGATATAATGGACCAATATTGCTGTGTTGCTTGCAGCTTCTGGGTTTTGTGGTGTCGTGCGTCACAATCTACGCCTACACAGAAGAAGAGGAGTCTTGTAAGTACATTGCCAAATCTCGTACTTATAACCGCCCCAAAGTGAGTGCCGTGGCCAAGTACCAACCAGTGCAGGTGCGTGACAGCTGGTGTCTCCCGACATACGTCTCATACACGGACAGTATTGAATGGTCCAATCAGAACCCTGCTCCAAATCAGTCCGAAGCATGATTTGATTAGTTGCTCGCTGGTCGAGCAGCCGCCTTCAAGCTAGTCAGTTTCAGGTTCGTTTCTTTTGCCAAAAATTGATTTCATTGGTGAGGTGCTCCCTCTCCTTACTGTCTGCTACAGTGCTGCTAGTGGTAAAGATTGGAGTTGAATGTTGCCTTGAACAGCATTGGGAGGGGTACTAACTTCATATTGTTGGTGGTTTTTATAAAATTATATATTTCTTAATTGATTTTTGAACATAAGCCTTCATTTATCCCTTTTGTATTTCATTTCCCTGTAGTCATTCAACCCAAGTTGTTATCCTTGTCCTGGTGTCATTCCCTGTTTTATGTCCACAAGTGGTAGAAGTTAAGTCTGATATACCATATTCGCCATAATAAGCCCAGTGTATACTTTGAATTGACTAGGCCATGACAGGAAGTTAAATTGATTTTCAGAGTTTTAACAGAATAAAGCAAATATAATTCCGCTAAATTCAGTGCAAGTATATATCCCTTCTGTGATACTGTAACATGCCAAAGCAAACAATGGATTGTCAAGTAAATTTTTGGTCTTTTTAAGATGTGATTATAAAGGTTAGAATATAGTAAGGATGCTTTGTACGGCGAATACCAAAGTCTAGTCTGACAAGTAATTGATTCTTTATTGCCAATCCACCAAGAGTAAGCTTAACTAAACGGTGGATTGTCAGTATAAGTTATGGGCAGCCATTTGGTTTCAGAATATTGAAATCAACTCCAATTGTTACCAGCATAACCAAACAGGCATTTTTGTTGCATTTTCACTGATGTTGATTTAAGAAGCCTTAATTGGCTGTTGTGCTTTTGAAATTTTTATGAAACTTGTGTTCTGAAGACACAAGTGCCTGTTGTAGCCAGCTGCGGAAGCTATCTAAACCAGCACTGCTTTCACTTCATCAGTATTTCACTTTCACTACAATATGATTTCATTATACTAAGGTTTTAAACCAGGGGTGTCCATCCTTGTCAAGATGAAATCTGCAGTAGCAGTGTTATGCTGGTTTGGAAGAGTCCATTCTATCAAGCTTCGCTCACTTCAGGTCATTTAGACATCGCTTCAATAGATCTCACCAATAGAAATCCATTTAAGTGTTTTCTCAAATCATGTTAGTTAAAACGAATTTAGTGACATCAGTCTCCAAGCATACTGATCTAATGATGAACCCTTGACACTGTAAACTGCTTTCTGTTGCAACTGTACGAGCTTGAGGAGCTGCCCTCAGGATCTTCACTGGCAGTTTTCTCACATTCCCATTGCTTCACACAATCACTGATTGTTCTTTTGTGTTCTTGGTCATACACCCATGGTCCCTAGTGTGGTGATCTACCTTCAGTTGTTGGCAATCTATAGCCTGTTTTTATATTGTATTGTCATTTATAGTTCCAATATTTTAGATTTAATTGCTAGTTTTAAATGGATATCTGTGATACACTAGTAGTTTTACTGTTCTTCGTCAACAGGTTTTTTAATGTCCTACTTTATTGATCTATAATATAATTATAAACTGTTCTCGTCACGATATGGCTGAAATATTGCCGATGTGACGATAAATATTAACTCACTCACTCACTCTTGGTCATACACGGTCCCTAGCAACCTGGTATATTGTGAGCAAACTTACATTAACTCGGTGATATGGCAGCACAGTGACACTGGATGTATCGATCAGTGGTTTGTCTGACCCTGACTCAATTATTTATATAAGGCAGGTGATCCAGCTAGAATATGCCTTGAGTGCTGCGTTGTACAACATACGGGAAATGTCATTCTTTTTGGTCAGTGCCAAGGTAGATAATTCTGTTATATTCTTCATGTTTCTAAGATATAACACACTATGAGGATTCCAGTGGGTAGATTGGCGTTGCTTCGGATTGGATCGTCAGGGTTCTGACTTGCTGTGGTAACCATATCTCTCATCTGTCCACTCTCAACGATTTTAATTGACTTACTGCCACAGAGCTGAGGCAGCCAAAAATCTGTCTTTTGTGATGATTCCAACCTGATTAGTACACAGAAAGTTGCATATCAGAATGCAAGCGTTTTGTGCAGTTTTTATAGGATTACCATTCATGTACATTTTGTTGTTAGTGTGGTACACGACAAGTCAAGAATCTAATTAGAATAACTAGTGGAACTGCCTGGAACTTTGTGTAGCGACAAGCCAGTAGCAAAATCATCTTATGGGGAGCAACACAGAGATATGGCTTCCACTAGGTTCTCACAAGGACAAGAGCCAAAACAAGGGAACTTCCTATTCTTTTCTCACACACTCTCACACACTCACTCACACACTCACACACACACACACACACACACACACACACACACACACACACACACACACACACACAGAGTTTACCATCTTCATATGGTAGTATACATGGTGGGCAGTTTTGCAATTAATCGTAATAATCATGAATGAAAGATGGCAGCTCTATGTAACGCTGAGTATCTGTAGATTAATTAATAAGAGAGGTTTTTAGCAGAGAGACTGAATAATGCTTTTCCTGACATTTACTACGTAATATTCTTTTCTTGATATTTGAAAAAAACATTAGTATTGTTACCATTTTATACTATTTGGGTGTCATTGTTTTAAATATTTTGAAATTGTTTCTGTATTCTCTGATGCTTGTGAATGCAACACTTACTGCAATTCAAGTATGTTGGAATCGCACTTCTAAGCTTGAAGTCCAATGTAGGGGAAGTAACTCTACACACTCAAAGGACTTGGTCGTAGAGCATAACCGGTACTGTTGGGTCAAATGCCCTGCCAGCCCAAACAACATTTGGAACTGGAATGTCTGAAAACATTATGATGTGATTTTTATTTGAGGTGTCATTTGCCTTACCAAAGGTCTCATATTGGACAAAACACTCATGACTACCAAAACTTTAAAGACTGTCACGAGTACAGTCTTATGAAGGCTACAGAAAGAAGGCTTAGAAGAAATTGTAGGATTGCCCCAGTGTCATCAAATCTTTTTCTTGTGGGAAAATTGAATTTTGTATAAAGACAACTGCTTTCCAAATTTCATTTACTCCAACTTGCAGCACATGCTAGTCCAAATAATGATGACAAATTAGAACACTCAAAGTCATGAAGTACTCCAGGCCCAAGAATATCTTTATCATTAGATACACTAAAACTTTGGTCAATTTGCACCCGTATTTCATTTTTTACAAAACATCACCAGGTTCCAGCTCTCCATGAACCTGTTTCAACCCCCTTCTTGTGCCCAGCACTTCATGTTGTAAACTTCCAAGCACTGACAGTATTATATTGATGTCGTCTACGCCCAGAAGTACTTTCAGGTTGAGTCTCCACTCTATCTCACTATTACTGCTGTCATTTTAGTTCCAATTATTTTGTTGACAATATCTGTCCGTCTTTCTCTTTGCAGTTGATTTTATCCACGGCTATGACACAAATCCCTCTGATCTAGCCGCCATCAGGGCCTCCTATATGCAACTGCAGCCTCTTTTTACAGATGCAACTAAAATTTAAAGGTTTCATTTTCGAATTGACCTGTTAGCATCTTGAGTTGCCTTGATGACTAACTCTCCCTGGTTGCCCAAATTCTAGAACCTTGTTTCCTAGATGATATCCATGTTTACCACGTGATATTCCGTTCTTGGATTTTCTTTTTGGTTCTGTGGCTTATGTTTTCTTTTCGGCTATGTTCGTATTTTCCACAATTCATATTTACCATTTTCCCCTCATAATGAATGATTGCAGCTTCATATTTCATGATGGCAAGCTCACATTATCAATATCTGTGAATGGCAATATTTGGGTCACTCTGACCTGACCCTTATAGGTCATGTTGACCTATTATTTTGATAATTAGTGAATGAAAATGGCTGCTTTTGCTTTCAATTCATAAACCAAGCTGTTTTCCCTTTCCCCTTTGACATGTCAGTACCTTCTTGTCCTTTCCTCTCATTTGCTGTATTTGTCTCTTTCAAACAGGGACAAAGTAGATTATGTCGTTTTTTCTTTCTAGGAAATTTGAAGGCGCTGATTCAGGATACATGCATTGAAGTAAAATTACTCTATAAACTTCCATTAGGGTCTCTGGTGTTTTTATCATTCAATGGCAACCGGAGCTTCCCTAGATGTTTTACATCCAGATTGATTTCCAAACTTTTTGGACAATGTAGTGCATCTTTTGTTTCCCCTACCAATTACTTACAGAACTGAAAACAAGAAACAGTTACTTTTGACTGAAGAACTGTTAAATGAGGGCATTCTTTTGTTGATAGTATTGCATGAATATTTATTATTATTATTATGGTAGTATTGCCATTATCAGGAACTATATAAAATTATACATGATATATGACAAGTGTTTATTCTGTCAGCTATATTTACACAAATGTGGACTTCTTCAAACCGTTGAGAATTTATCTAATTAATTTGTCATATAGTATACAACAAGTGGGACTTAAATCAAATTAATTGTCAAAAGTATTTGTTATGTATATCATAGTTTATTAAAACCCATGAACTAAGATAATAGATGGTTCTAGTTACTCAGGACTCAAGATCTCAGATGGTAGTTATAACATTGGATTCAGCATTAAGAGAAAGCACTAAGACATAATGTAAAGTGTTAATGTTTTCAGATGATCAGTACATCCGTTACACACAAGGTAACCATATCCCCATCATGGGCAGCACTCCATATTTTGTTATCGTTTGTAACCCTCACCATCCTAGTCACCCACTCGCCAGCAGTACTCTCATTCTAATCCCACTAACCCCCATCATTTCAGTTGGCCATTGTTTGTGCGAGGGTGTTTGCTTGTTTACTTATGTGTTGCCATTGTAGTGATCTTTGTCATGGTATGTACGTATTTGTGAACATCTTGAAACGTGACTGTCTGAAAACGACACTAGTACTTTACCCTATATATTTTCTCTGCTGAGGCTTTCGAAATTTTTGCATGGACATTTTTTTTTTCACTCTGTCACCCAATCTTTTACTGAATGCCATACCACTTGTGCATTTTGTTGACCTTATTGCAGTCATTTAGTTGGCTTTTGTATCTCTTCCACATTATTTAGGTGCATGTGAGGCCTTACGCAGAGATAACTTCCATTGTGTTTCTCGCAAATGCTTATCAGGAAAAATATACATAAATTTGAGCAGCACTGATTTTCTGTGAGGAGATCAGGATGTGAGAATAAGAAGAATCAGTTGTATCATATATGATGAGATAATGTGCTAGTAATGTTAATGCATAGTGAAGTCGTAGTTACTTAACGTAGACATTTTTACTGTAGACATGCAAATATAATGATACTGTTTGCAGTTAAATGATTGACAAAAGGCATTGTTGTGAATGCTATCTCTAACAAGTGTAGACTGCTAGATGACATGAGTGCAATATATATATCATCATTATCAGAAAAGATTTTGACGATAGGCATGAAGAAATCGATATATGAATGCAGACTTACTAATAACCACTATAACTAAATATCTATTTATCTATTTTGATAATCAGCAGGTTATTTTTTGGGAAAAAGCCTTTGATTTGAAATCTTTAAGCATCATTTCATATAATTTTAAATTGTGTTAAATTGTTTCTAAATTTGAAGCCTTTTAGCATGAGAAATGTATGATCCATTCTTTGTTTGTTTTTTGTTAAAGCAGATTGCACAAACATTCCATGGTAAATCAAGACTCATCACAATCAACACAATATCTCTTGTTGTCCTTCATGATCATGTCATACTTACAGATTAATATTGAGTGTTTGTTTGTCCTCGCTAGAAAGAGCTTGTTGCTGATGTAGTCGTCTTTGTGTAATTGTTTAGTGTCTGTGATCCTCTTGTTTAATCTGTTGGACAATCGCATTGCAGCCAGCCCAGCCAATGATGAACTGGAGTTTGTCAAGATGCGATACCGCTCCCCAGCACACAACGCTTACAGAGACAATCAGACATTTGACCACGTGAACATGGCTGAGTTTACCACGCTGGAGATGCCCCCCAGCTACGATACCACAATGAGGGATAACAGTATCGCGGACACGACCGCTGCCAACCTGTACTATGCTTCTGATAGGCAGAGTGTTCGCAGCAAGGCGAGCACGCGGTCCAAGCGATCCAATCGCAATGGCAATACAACTATAAACAATAACTATGAACGGAGAGAGGAACTGCCATGGGTTCAGATCACGCCATCAGCGCATGGGGACAACACTCATCACAGGAACTACCCATAGTGTACATGTCATATCAGTGGATGTGGGATATTGTGCTTTAGTGTGTTTTAACTTATATGTGGAAGAGTCAACACCACTTTCGCAAACCCACCGGGATCAGTCGGAGGTGCATGCTGCACAGTTCTCTGACACTTGACCTCTGGAACTGTTCTATTTGGACATGTGATACTTTAACATGTATGTATGTGAAGACAGTGCTGTTTCTTTATGTGTGATGTGATATGATGCAGGTGGGGATGAATCTGACTTGCATGAATTCTGTACCTCAAGGATAGTGTCAAGTGACTGGTTACCATGGCAACCTTTTTGCAGTTGATCTCATACCTCGTCATACGTCGTGTCAGCGATACCCTCCTGTTGTAGTTTATGTCATACAATATGTCATACAGGACCCTGGCATGGTAAACTCATCTCCCAACCTCATGTGGTCGTATATTTAAGCTGGGCAGTTTTCAATAATTAGTTTGCATTAAAGTTTTTTGAACATAATTAGTAAATGCATATGCAGGGATGTGGAAAATCAATGTTCTGTGAGTTATTGAAAATCCCCCCAAACATTGTAAGAAGTGTATAAACATCCCCAGCATGACATTCCACTTTAGTCTGCATTGTTTACTTCCTTGTTCTGATTTTGATCATGCTTTATGATACACTGTTTGATCATGCTGACTGGTTGATCAGAGTACCATGCAGCCAGTTGTGCAGGGAGACCACTCTTCCTGCTGAAGACATATATTTTAAATATTGTTACAGCTAAGCAATGGATGCATTCCTATTTCGTGTCAGGAAAAGCTGCAGATGTTCTAAAATTAAGTCAAAGGCACTGAATGATGCATTTTGTGAGAGCCATATTTGATCAGTTATATTCTGGACAAGTATGCATGGCCATCAGACAAGAGAATTTTCTTAGTTCCCTTGTCAAGGGAGAACTTCACAACTTTGATATTTCCACACCCCTGCCTTTTTATTTGTTAGCCTCTGTTTTGTTACTTGACTAAACTCTGTTAAGTGCTGGACTGTGGTAATTAGCTGTATGTTTCAGACAAAAGTGATATATATGTATACTGCATTATGAGATATAGTTACTGCTTATGCTTCATAGACTGCTCATCTGCAGGTACACTGTTATATCATTGTATGCTGCTGGCATGACAAGCTCTGTTTGGACAGCTTGCTGAAAGCAGTGCCATACAACTGGCTATGTTTATAGGTAGTTACAGCTGAAGTGTGATAGATTCTCAAATAAATAAACTTTTTTGTAGGCTTAGAAATTCTTCCATTTTTCTAACAGAATATATTAGTTTATTTTAAAGTAAAAGGAGGATTAACAGTTGATCTGTAAAATCTTTAATTTTTATTCCAAGTATGTATTTAGCAGCTGCCAATAATTTTCTTGTAAAAAACATGCAAGGAAAGAAATTAGTTTCCTGTTTCCTGTTTGTAAAAATGATGTTTTTTTCTACATGCATTCCAGGAAGGTATTTTATTTGGTTTTGAAGATTTGTTGACTTTATTAGCAGGGTTAAACTTAATTTGGTAATAGTGAATATGTTTATGGAAACATTATGACAGTAGTTGGTTTTTGTTAGAAATCCTTTTTTCAGTTCAGTTGTCTTTTAACATAAGCATTTCTGTAATATTATATATTTATGAACTTCAACAGCTGTTTGCTGGTACAGACTGCAAGGTTGTAAAAACAGAACATTATCTAAAGTATATATTTATCTACCTAAACTGTCTTCCACTGCTTGGCAAGCATTTCTTTTATTATAAAGTGTCAGTCAGTAAGGGTGCGTAGTGAATAAATAATTGATCAGTTTCTTTTAGCTTTTAATCCATTGTTTTGCGGGTATATCGATTATTGCAAATTCGTAACAGGGAGTACATGTAATTTAGTCCCTCAGACACTTAACAGGTTAGAGTTATTTCTGAAAAAAGATTTTGCAGAAAAAAGGAGCACCAAGATTTCCACTTGAGACAGCATCACCATGATCATAATCACTGTGGTAGAGGTGTGTATGTAATCTAGTTCCAGATGCACTGAAATGTCATTGTGTTTGCAGGTGTGTTAGACACAGGTTAGACAGGTGTTCAAACCAGTCCAGTCTGTCACTGCTGCAATGGATGTTAGCCTCACTTGTTACACTCACATGTTGAATTATATATTGATAATTGTAAATATGTTTGGACACTATTGACTATGACTGTCATGCAGGTATCGTTAATTATTTATGGCATCACTCACAATTATTTCTACTAACACCATGCTGTATATAGTGCAATAGGGGTTAATGTAAAGTTCCATTGCATCTAAACGCCTTACATTTACCCCTTGTGAAAGCTATATTCTGTTTTGTTCTGCCTTGGGTATAATGATCATTCCTTCATGTTGATTTTACTGCTCTTTATTTGCCATGGAAGTTGCTGAGATTTTTCTTATTTCTGGTTGTGATTTGTAAAAGAAGTCTTCACAGTTGTAAAATATTTGATGTTGATATTTTCAGAACTAGTTTCCTGATAGTATGGTTTTATTAACTATCCAGGATTTCATCAATATGGTGTGTGGTATGGTTTTAAGTGTGGAAAACTTTGGATATGGAAATCTGGTTTTTGTAATACACACTCATAATCCAGATAAGCAGTTTCTCTTTTCAGCAAAATTTGTTTTAATCATTTTGGACATTCAGCTGTTTATTTCCTTAGTTCACTGTAAACATCTATGTAAGTTGATTTTATGAGTAGTTGGGATCACTTCCCTTTTAACAATGTGTTGACTTTATTGTAATGTTTTGTGCTCATTTGTACTTATATAATTGTGATATTATCAAGGGACTCATCAGATGCTGTTATATCATAGATTGTATTACTCAGTGTTCATGTGATTGATAATGGACAATGTCCAGCCAAGATTGACGAATTGTCATTTTCAAATCTTGCCATCTAATAGACAGGTTAGGTGACTGACTTTAATGATGCATCCTACGACTCTTTTTTTTCATGTTTGTGAAATTGTCATGTATTTGTTTTTCTTCCCATCAGTTCATCTCATAAGCCCATGCAAAGTTTTGCTTTAAGGAGTTCAATCCGCCATTGTTAGGTTTCACAACTTACCTCCATTGTATTTTCATATCAACTTGAAAATGTGTCTTTGCCTTAATCTGGAAATGCTCAGCTTGCTTGGGCTCACAGTTGCTCTTGTTATGCTTTAGAATCACACTGGTCATGGTTAGTGGAATATGAACTGTATTACAGTTGGAGGTGAATGTGTGTGAAGGTGCAATTTGCTATGCAGAGTTGTGTTTCATAGCTGTGACAGGATCTGCTGTGTCATGGTTTGGTTCATGTAGTTTATGATCCTAGGTTTGTCAGCACTGTTTCTGGGCTTGAGGTAAACATCGTTGACCTGTATTACATTGGGCTTCTGTCCTGTGTGAACCTAAAGTTGTGATAAACTGAATGCTGTTCACAGCATCATTTAACAGATTTATCAAACCACTCCTCACTTTCTCGAAGTTTCACAAGTAATTGTCTGTTTCATGCAAATCATTGAGGTGGGCTCTTGCATCAGCCAGATAGTCAGTCAAACACTCGCACTTCCCTCATAGGGATTAACCCTACCATTCCATTGTGTGTTCTCATAGAGGGGTAGGTATTTGTTCAACAAGGTTCATTTACTAGTGGATACAGACTTGTGTTAACTGACTGCAGTTTGGTGCAGGAGCTCTGGCAGCACATCTGTGATAGGAGGACAGGAGTCACATGTATAGGGACAGTGAAACGCAAGGTTTGTGGATAGGTTGCACACTATGTCAGGCTCCAGACATGAGGAAGAAGTCACTTGATAAGAGAAGGTCCTGAAGCAACTACACAATCTGTGGATAGGTTGCACACTATGTCAGGCTCCAGACATGAGGAAGAAGTCACTTGATAAGAGAAGGTCCTGAAGCAACTACACAATCTGTGTATTTTTATCACATTTAAGTGTTGTCCAACAGTGTTCATATGGCTAGTATTCTTCATATACTTGGTCCTCTCTACACATTAACTTTGGGATAGGGATTGGAAGACACCACCTGTCCTGTTTGAGAAACAGTGATGCAGGTACACGTGGGTGGATTTATTTTACCAAAAGTTACTATTGGCTTCTTGGATATTCACATTCATTGTGCCACTCAGTTGTGCATAGGGCATGTTTTTGTGTTTTGACTTCTCATGAAGTTTTCTTATTGAGGAGGCCAAGTTAGGATTGGCATTGTCAGATGTTATGGGTGCAAGACTTTTAACAAGGAGTTGCATAACTGCTCAATTTCATGTTGCACAGGGAGGGATGGGTGGAGATAGGAAGTCTTGAACTCTGGTGTAGGTATGGACTTCTGTCTGACCAAAACTTTCATTTTTTCACTGATGAATCATTTACATGTATGCATTGTGAGCTTGGGTATGCAGCTGTACTATGAGCATTGTTCACAAATAAAACTACCATTGTCTTGAAGTGCGTGTGTTTTTATTTGACATGTGCATTATCACGTTTTGTCAAAGGAGGCAAAGAAAGCAAAAAATGTGCCACCTGTAAACCACACTTTGTTGTCTCAGAAGTACAAAAGTATCGGGGGGGAGGCACACATGTGTGTCGTTCAACCTATAAACATCGTTGCATATATAGGTAGTATGGCGCCCGACGATGTATAACATTTTATAAGTATCATAAACATATGCACCTATGACTACGTCAAGCACCAGAAAACATCACACCTCCAACCCCTGAAGATCCAGGTTAGAGTCAGTGTGCGAAATAGCCACTGGCCCGCTCGACCTTGGCCAGTAAAAATTCACTCGGGACAGTAAATCTCTACAGTCGTTGGCGCGACTTGCTAGTGAATTTTCATGGGATCATTTTGTAAATATATCACTCTCTCCGACTTAAGTTATAAGACACTGTTAAATAATGCAAGATTATGGCCAGATAAAAATGTTTATCATATTAGCAGCTTAATAATGAAACCTGTGTCATGCCGACAATATCTTATTCTCATCTATTTTGGCAATCTTTAGCTTAGTTTCTACACACAAATTTCGGGCTAGTGAATTATTTTGTGGGCTTGTAACTTTCAGGCATAGCTATAAGGAAACTATTTCGCACACTGGTTAGAATTGGTGTTCAGAAATACATGCTTGTCGTAAAAGGCGACTAACGGGATCGGGTGATCAGGCTGGTTGACTTGGTTGAGACATGTCATAGTATCAAAGTTGCGTAGATCTATTCTCATACTGTTCATCACTGGGCTGTCTGGTCCGCCGCCATATAGCTCGAATATTGCACAATGCGGCGTACAAACCTACCAACCAACATCACACCTCAATACTTTCTCTAGTCCATAAGTCGTATTATTTCTGGACACTATTTACGTGCGATTGCGTCATCGGTTAATAAAAAAAAATCTGTCAACAAACCTTTTTTAGCTTAGATGGTCGTCCGTTACGTATGCTTTAAGAGTGGGCATCCGTTTTGTGGATCGTATGGTCAGTATCCATGCCATGTATGATACCATGTCACACCTGCATGGCGTTAAAGAGTTGTTTGACCCAGCCTCAAATGTTTACAGAAGTCGAGGATTCAAACTTGAAACATTGAAGTTGTGGAAGATAGCGGTTAGTGTTAGTCACACCAAAGAGTTGCCCAGAGACTGGGAGCGGTCTGTAATGTTTCCATTTCAACGAAAATTATGCCAATAGCCCATTGGGTGTGTGTGTGTGTGTGTTTCGGGGACAAACACACACACAAACACACACACACACACACACACACCGAAAATAACTTAACACCACAATGAAGTTTTTTTTTGCGTTGGCGGATCCTGGATCCGCCCATGGAAAAATGTTTCCTGAATCACCGTGAGTTTACTCATTTTTTAATGGACACGCCATGAAACATACACCCTTAGTTGTTTTCATTAATAGATAAGCTTTCTCGCTCATCCACACGAATAATGCATGGTTCCAAGAAATTATGAAATGTTGAAACAAATTCATGAATATATCTGTTACTCAATTTATCGTAAAACTGTTCACATTAATGTACTTCATTCAGCCGTCCCGGACATTGAGCCTTATCGCCATGATAAGTTATGCTATGTTCCCCGACAGTCGGACACGAGTTACTATAACTGGTGCGAAGTGACAAGTTCAATGCGACACTGATTGGTGATATATTACTTTGGCTGATAACAAAACGCGTCGTAAACTATGCGAGATATATTTTGATTCATATAAGTTGTTTCACACTGATATTTTGAATACTGTACAGTCGACTACCCTTTAAGGAATAGTCATGTTGACGTGACACCTTTCCGAAACGTCTAAGCTCTCCATCACTGATGGCATCAGAATAGCGAATTCTGAATAGTTAGGCATTGATCAATGATTTTCAGGAAGAGGAGGGCAAAGTACCCGAGATTGGTTAATGTTTGACAATAGACATAACTGTTGAGAATATGTTCTACTCCGATGATGATCGTACCAATCACAGGTATAAATAGTTATCCCTGCATTTACCCCTCAGTGATTGGGCACATCAACAGCATATGCAGATGATGTAATTTCCCGGGATATACATTCCCGGATATTCACCTGTTCCCAAGGAGTTCGAGATAACCGGGGTCGAGTATATCATTAACTCTATATCGATAAACCCAACTCTTGAAGAACCAACTGGTGTTTGTTGTTTTAGCAGTGGTACAGCTTTATGAGGGCGGGGTTAACGGGCTGTCTTGGTGCTAAGACGAAGAGATATTCTAAAATAAATTACCCGTTACATAACAGTCAGACTTTGTACTGAAAACAATATTTATTATCGGAACAAATATACAAAGTGTACACAAAAATATATAAAATATGAAAAACACTCGACCATCTGTATCTGATGCTTCTTTCATCTGATCGCCATTATGGGGTCGATCCTGGGAACCCTCATAATAATTACATACAAAATGACGTAAATAAAACTTAAGTGTGGTCATTTTTCAAATTTAAGGCTCACACTCAGTCACCGAGGTAGCGTGAGGCCCTTTTTGACTTTCAAGACATGTCAGCCACTGAGGTTGGGGAATTTTTCGAAGTTAATTTTTTTTTTTTACAAAAGTAAAAAGGTTCGTGACCAAAGATGAGTACAAAGTCTCTATGTTTTTACTGTTTTATCGATAACTACTTAGAGAAACAACTTCGGTCAATGACGTACTCAAAGAGTACCACCTCCCAGCAAACATGACATAACTGGGCCAATAACGGCTCCCTTCGTCACTTGTAACTTCAGTAACGGCATTAAGAATTAACCTAAATGGCCCATTATGTATTTTACAGTACTGTCTTAACTGTATCGTTTTAATACTGGCCCAGTCGCAACATCACATTGTTTAAAGGCATTGTCTTACGTTACTGGGCCAGTATGCTGCATACAGTATAGGACAAAGTTATTGGTCCGGTACTGGCACAGTAATGAAATACGGTACGGGGCCATTACAGGGCCACTACAGGGCCAGAACGTAAATGGTGCATTGTGGGTAAATTGAATTGCATTGTGGGTTAAAAATGTGCCCGCCATTTTGTCGTCTGCTGGAGGTGAGGGGTTGAGGTGTCAGGAAAACATTTGGCCAAATATGTAGGTATTCCTTGAAAACAACATATAAATCATATGTAACTTTAAGCCTAATATAAATGTGTACTAGAAAAGGTCTATTACCACTTTGGGTCCATTCAGTTTTGCTCCAAACAAAACTGTTTTTCCTTCCACATTCAAAATCTGAGTGCAGTTCCATTATCACAATCTAACTACAGTAATGTGGTACTGGACAAAACGAAGGAAAATAGAATATAAGCTAAGAGAAAACATACAGATTATTCAACAAGGGCTATTTAAACTCAGAAGATATAAAAGATGTTTTACTTTATCCCTTTTGTTTTCCTTTTAGCATGTTTAGCAAATTGAATACAGCGGGGTTTTGCTTCCAATTAGTCACATTAGTGACATGTTTTATAGATAATACCTAGCACTGTATCAATTATGGAACTCGTGCCAGTTAACAGTTTGCTGTTATAAAATTTTAAATGTAACCTAGATTCCTTTGGGGGGAACAATGGACATAGTTCGTGTACATTTGCACTGTCTATTTACATCATGATACATGGAATTTTGGGTGCATCCTCTAGGGGAGGCGCGTCGCCTCGCTCACAGTGCCCACTTAACAGCTGGGTGGCCATGGACTGGAGCAATGTAGATTTAGTCTCCTTGGTCAAGGCTGACACAGGTCTAGTGTGGATTCATACAAAAGGGTCCAGAATGTATAAGTGCTATGGTACAAGTACACAAAATTTCATACGGGGCCAGTACAAGACCAGTACACTGCCAGTACAACGCCAGTGTGTTGCTATTTGTACTGGGCCATTTCCACGCCAATGTGCAAAACGTTACTGGTCCGGTACTGAGATCCGTTATCAAGCCTATATTGTGGTCTTTATAATACCAGTACGGGCCCAGTAGTGTCATGTTAGCTGGGCTATTTATTCAGCAATGTTACAACATGCACAAGCTGAAACAAACCCAGATTATTACATGCATTACAACCTTCATAATATTTTGTTTAAAAAATCCTAATTTATTTTATCATCAAATCTGTATAGTGTATACCAAGGCCGAAATGGGCAAACCTTGTCCTTTGACTCAAGGAACGGTTTAGTCAATCAGAAGAGCTTGTTCGGCATGTGACTACGTTAACACGCACCATAAGCTTCTCCGTACCTAATACAGATATAATGATAGGTGCAAGCCTTGATGGATCTCCCTTTACACTTCTGTGGTAACAAGGTCTGTGCTTCATCTTAGTTGTCTAGACATTTTAACCGTCTATTCATATCGATCCCAACACAGACGAGTCACCTTGTCCGTTAGCCCAGTGGGGTGGCCATGTTGTCTTCACTGACGGTCTGTCCTTGACCTTGTTGTAGTAGGCCTCCATCGCGGGGTATTTCCCAATGTCAAGGCCATACCGTACAAAGAAAGCCACATATGGAAACAAAAAGACATCCGCCATGGTGAAGTTATTTCCGACGAGAAAATCGCTGTCCTTAAACAAAATGAAAAAATGGTACGGTTAGGCACAGTCATGTCACCGTTTGTGAAAAATCTTTATACACAAGTGAGTAAGTGCATCAAAGATGATAAGACCACAGCTAGCAAAATCCCAGCGTTACACTGCTGCCTGTCAATAATCGAGTCTGGAGGAGGCAAACCACTGACTTGTCAAACCACTGGATCATGACAGGAAACATCAAAGATATCCGAGTAACAATCTAGTCATGGAGCTAGATCATCAGTTCCGATGTAGTCGTCGCATAAAACAATAACAGCAACACAATAACAACAACAACAACTAGAGGACCGGGCACATGACCGTCAGTACTGAAGGCGTTTAGAATAGATTTAACATCACCGTTCCATTAGTCACTTCAGCTAATAAGGTAAGTTTGAGATGGTGTAAGAACGCTTTAAACAACGTTGTTCAGGTATATCTAACGTTCAGTATGATTGTGACACGACTGATGCAGGTGTTGATGTTGACCAGTCTGGCAAACCCTTACAGACAGACAGATTATTATAGTCTCACCTCGTGAAAGCATACATACATAATATATACATGATATAAACTATACATAACTTAAGGCAAAATAAGCGTAATTGTAACGAGCCACCCCGTACAGAGAGACTTTAAAAATAACATCTATAAAAACATTCAAATCTTTAAAACTGCAGGCACTCTATAAAAAATACTTTGATAAATTGTATACAATAAATTTTAAAAGCAATCATTGAAATTACATGATAAGGACAAAAGCGTGGTCGGAATTATACTGACTCCGAGCCGACCAGTCCTTGTTGTACCCATTAATGCCGAGCGCCAGGCAGGGACCAACAAGTACCATATTTTAACGTCTTTTGGTAAGACGCGGTCGGGGAACGGAACACAAGGACAACGCAACACTGTAGAGCTGTGACGCCATAAACTGGGGGTCACCAGTGCCGTACCTATGGTGATGTTGATATTACTTTGCGACTTGAGTGTGTAGTTACTTACGTCTGACAAATAGTCTTCCCAGAGACGCAGTTCCCTCCGAGCTGCCTTGTATTTGGGTATCATTCTGGACTTGAAACACCAACAGTACATAATGTATAATGACATTGTGTCGGGTTGTTTGTTGTGGCACGGGCAAGGTATAGTTTTATACAGAGTAGCTTATCATTTTCGTGTATTTATCAAATCAAAAGGGTAAATTCAAAGGGGAAGCCATCAGCAACAGGCACATATGACGTCATGTCACGTGATACCCCGCTCTGCTCATTAACTGTCGGGTGTTTCCGTATTAGGCGGATATACGAGTGCGTTTTTTGTGTTTTTATTGCTATTTTACAAACTTTTTGTTCAATTTTAATGAATGTGACTTTTAGAATATTGTTTACAATATATCAAAGTTTTGTTTTCGTTCGTATTCTCCTTTAAGCAGGATAACCTACCTCGTCAACCTTGTCCTTGGGGAAGAGGAACCGGACATGAGCGACCTCCTTCAGGATTGTGAGAGCGATGTTTTCTGTCTGGCATGTAGTCAAAGCAGTCTAACATTTCATCAAATAGATTTACAGTTGTAACAAAGATGGACATGAAAACATGGGACATTGTTTTCGCTGTCTTTCCTTCATCCCATCCCATCCGACCGCCTCCGTGGTGTAGTTGTTAGAGCGTCCGCCCGGAGAGCAGAAGGTCGCGGGTTCGATCCCCGACCGCGTCACACCAAAAGACGTTAAAATATGGTACTTGTTCGTCCCTGCCTGGAGCTCGGCATTAATGGGTACAACAAGGACTGGTCGGCTCGGAGTCAGTATAATGTGTCTGAGTGGGGTATCCATGCTTCACTGCGGCATGGTATCTCAGTGGGCTAGCACTATAAAACCAGCTTCAGTCTGGGCTAGTACAAGCAGCCGCACACACACACACACACACACACACGCATGCACGTCGTCATATGAGCGAAATATTCTCAAGCACGACGTTAAATCCAATTTCACCTCACCTCACCCATCCCATCCAGAGTCTCATCTCCGCTACAACCGGATGTATCCCACCTGCGCCCCACGTCATCTCTAGATATCGCCGCTAAAAACATCCACCTCTACACATCTCCACCCATCCCCATCTAACCTAAATCTCGACCCATGTCTAATCTCAACTCCAGTACAGCGTCACTTACACCTACCCAATTTCACTTTCGCCAACCGCCTCATCTCCACCCAGCACTGCCTGAACTCTATCGTGACATAGCCTGCCCTCGCCGCCACTCCCACAAACCTGAATATAGTGATAAAATGAACTGATACTAGGGAAATATCCCGAATGATACGACACCTCTCCAGCAGTCTACCGGCCCCTCACCCTCATGTCTCATCTTCGTGCCTTGAAGACCCGTGAAGATCCGGGTTAGAACTGACCTTCAGTAACCCATGCTTGTCGTAAGAGGCGACTAACGGTATCGGGTGGTCAGGCTCGCTGGCTTGTTTGACACACGTCATCGTATCCCAATTGCGTAGATTGATGCTCATGCTGTTGGTCGCTGGATTGTCTGGTCCAGACTTGACTAATTACAGACCGCCGCCATAGAGCTGGAATATTTCCGAGTGCGGCGTAAAACAAAACTCACTCACTCGTGCCTCAAAGACCTAAATTTCCCCCACCACACACAATTCCTTACCCCTGAAGGCTCACTGCCTCAACCTCTCTCCCATTAATTCACCTACTGACCACAAAAGAAAGGGTCAGTCGAACGCCGTTGTGTCGAACACATATGGTTATCTCGACGTAAAAACTGGGTCCCTTTGTATTCTCTCTTTACTCATTTATATTTCGGTTCTGTTGAAGTAGTTACGTAAGTCCCTTTTACTACGACACGCTTTATATACATAAGTCACTGGACCAAACACCAAAACATATGTATATTTTCCGTTGTTATGTCATGTTACCGAGCGGAAAGCCAACAGATATCGGGAAATAGGCGACCATACATATTATTTAAGAAATCTTTTTATAATAATTTTCTGATGACGTAAAAATGAAAATATAAAAGAAAAAGGCACGGGCATGTTATGACATGTCACAAATGGAAAAAAATCGCCATAGTTTTTGAATAACATTATAAAAATAAACTTCATATTTATCAACAGTAGGATTAGATCTTTTAAATGGTGTATGGGATGTAGTAGCAATAACGTTTTACAAGCTTATAATTTCCTTCATAAACATAGGCTTCATCTATGACCTCAGAGTCTCGATAGTAAGGAAAGATATCAAGGGGAAGTAACTCGGTGCATATACTGTGGTTTCATCAGTACGAACGTTTCACTATCCGAACGTTTTTTTAAAAAAACCAAAGTGTTCGTATTAACGAGGTCTGACTGTATATAGGCAAAAAGAAGTTTCCCCACACTGCGGTCTCAGTTATTGACACCCACCTCAAACATTCTCTGCAACACTGTGCCCCGAAGTGAATAGTCATCAGGGAGGAGCTTGGTGCCTTGCTTCTGAAACTTGTGCTGAGAACAAAAGAGTCACATGTACTTCATCTCGCTTTACAAGGAATCCACGAGTCGTATCACATCACTGGGTTCTTTATGCCATGTTGAAGGAAAGCCAAATATGAAGCAGGGCGTAAAGTCCCCCTAACAGGCCCGGGTATCGATGGGGCTGACACACAAATAGTCATTTCATATAAAACACTGGAAACATTTCATCATAAACAGATCTGTTGTTCCCATACGATCTATGAACCTCTATCTATGGACATCTCCACAGGATGCCACCTCAGGTGTGTCTCTAAACAGCCAAACAGCTTCGAAGCTTTCAGATTCCAAGAGAGGGCAGCATTCCGACATGCGAATCTGACTTCCAAAATATAATGAATCGGGGAGTTCGGAATGGAAAACAAAAAAGCTGCACTATCATATTGTTCTTTAAATTTTATACATCCCGTCGAGTTTTAAATGCATCAGTATCTACACCCAATATCTTTATCATTGGTGTTTCTTCGGTTTAGATTTTATTTATTTTCCAAGATGGAATTTCCGGTAAAGAAATGCAGCCGTTATGGAAAGCGGGAGTCTGTATACACATTGATCAAAAACAATGTGTCGCTTATTTTTTATTTCATGCCGCCACTTAACATTATTTCAATTACAAGACGGTAGTCCGTATATAATAGTGTCTGGATAAGACAAACCCGTGATTGATATTCACGAGCATCGTCCCGCGCAGTCAACAAAATTATCGAACTCGACCATCGGATATAATTAGACACCTCAACAAACCAACGAAATGTTTCATAATCAGAGCAATCATGCAAGCTTCTGGCAAGGGACGCAAATCTGTACAGTGTTCTGAGGCGACGGGGTAGTCTAGTGGTTAATGCGTTCGCTTGTCTCGCTGAAGACCTGGGGCCCGTTTCACAAAGCTCTCATAGCGCTACGACTATCGTAGCCAATGTTACAGTACAGGAGGTACGATTACTAGGAGAATAGTTACGAGATCTTAGGCTTACGGGAGCTTTGGGTTCGATTCAGTGTTTGCCCTTAACCCTGAAAAGCGACAAGCCCTAAGGACACAGAACCATAAAAAGTTGTGGGTCGTGATCAAAATGTGTAGGCACTATATATTGAAATGGAAATAATACTCTTAGTTGGGGCCGGATGAAAAAGCTGTCGGCCATAAGGACCTGCAGAAAACAAAAGCTGTGGGCCCGAGTGGTTTTCAGTTGGCTTCGGGCCAAAGGACCGACGTTAATTTCGAACGCTGGTTCGATTCCCCACATAGGTACAATGTGTGAAGGCCATTTCTGGTGTCCCCCGCCGTGCTATTGCTGGTATATTGCTAAAAGCGGCGTAAAACTAAACTCACTAACTCAGACTGTACAGTGTTTTGAATACTCTCGTTAAAGGAACTATACCTCCAAGTACAGACACACAGCACCAGATTCCTTTAACACCGTGCTGCCATCTTGGAAGATCGGCACCTGCATGGGGGAAACAAAACAACTTGGTAGAAGACAACTTGTTCCTTTATCTCCATAAAATGTTGCTGAATCTTTACTTCCTCTTTCCATCACTTGTGTTCATGCAATAGTACTGCTTTTGTTTTGGTAATACAAATTTAGATTCAACGTCCATCCAGTAACCACAAACGTTTTGAATACACAGTCGTAATGTATAACATTTGATTAACTGATACAATTTGATCTGTTTCCTTGGCATTTAGAAGTTGGTGACTAATAAGAAAGTAAGATTGTTTATGGATAACAACTTCTTTTATTATATATATAATGGAAGTTGTTATCCATAAACAATCTTACTTTCTTAATACAATTTGGTATAATTAATAGTTTACATTCCTGAATAACACAACACTATACATTTAGCAGAGACACATGCTATTTTCCATGACCATTGTGTAACTACAACCAGATGATTTACCCACTATTGTCATAGAGAGAACCAGCATTTTCATAGCACATGAGCAGAAAGAAACGGTATCTTTTATAGCAAATACGAGAAGGCAGACTAAAAAATATACTTTTGTTTGTATACATAATAAACAAATTTAAACTGAACAAAAAAACTTTTAATGACAACGACTAACGTATACTTTGTGTAATAATATATGATAAAAAAACCCAGTTTTCTTCGATATGATACGACTCTGCAGGAAGTGCGTTGCCGTATCAGAGTGAAAAATCACGTTTCATAAAAAGGCGAAACACAGCTAAGCGGTGACGATAGAAAAGATAGCCTATGGTATCTGGCGCCTCCAATCTTACCTGCCCTCGCGGATTCAGTTTCCTAACCTCATCAGACTTCAGGTCTTCGAGGGTAAACCTCAGCCTCTTGTTGGGATAATCTCTCAGTTCTTTCTCCTCCAGGACAAGCATCACCTTCCAGCACGGAGCGCTCCCTGACGCCCAATGGAGGTGCATGTCTGCAGACGCACCGGTCAGTGACGAGCACTTGCGGCTACACAATCGTCCAAGTTGTGGAGAAGTAACTCTGAACCGGACATGTCGACATAGAGACCCTAACATGCTGACTGGCCAGTGGTATAGGTGGCCTGGATATTCTGGTTGACTTGTCAACAGTTATGTACAAGAGACAGAAAGGCAGGATAGAAACAACTCAAAAGCGAATCAAGGGAGGTTACTCTAATGACCTACCTATAGGGTATCCACTCACGATAAAACAAATATTAATGTGTTAATGATAAGCCTAAAGCAGTTATATAGAATCACCTCTTATGTTGAACAACAAATTATAAGTGCCGTGATTGAAACATAAACCTCCATTCTTGCAGCGTTGGTGTCAGTACGCCATTTGGTTCAATTCATAGGGAAATAATAGAATGCGTGACTATGAAGGGTTCTGTGAAACAATGAAAGTATAATTACTGTATGTAAACTGTAATGTAAAATGATTCTAAACGTAGAAATAATAATAATGGGGCATGCAACGTGCATCTGTGTTGTACTTTTTGTAATAACGGTATTTGTTAATTTCTTTAGGTTTAACTTTGAAATAATTCTATTTCCAATCAAAGTATTATTGAGTTTCAGGTTCATTCAAGCTATTCAAGAAATATTCAGTGACATTCTACGATTCTAACTTAGATTAATAGGTTTCTGGCAGGCCTGAGATACGAAAGTCTGCACAGCGAATTGGATCTCCTGAGACAACAGGGCCCTCGCACATCCAGATATGTCTTGTTTGAGAAATATAAACATCAACTTCATTTATGAGCCTTGCGAATTCTCATGTTAGCGATATCGTAATATTTGGTATATAACATACCTCCAAGCAGTTTTGTAATGATTGAATTTTATTATAATTATAGGATATTTATATAGCGCATATATCCGAGCAACTAGTACATGCTCACGACGCTGGTAATTTTATGCGTGTGAAACTATAGTCTTCAGTATGAACAGTCCCGGATGACAGCACGGGTCAGTTTGCTGCACAGAGATGGTACTACTCAAAATGAACCTTCCTTTAAAAAGTATCGTTGTGCTTTGTGGGGTATTGATTGTTGTTTAACGCCGAACTCAGCAATATCCCAATCCAGTGATCAACAAGAATAGTATCGATCAACGCTGTTGGGATACGATGACATGTGTCAACCAAGTAAGCGAGCCTGACAACTCGATCCCGTTAGTCGCCTCTTACGACAAGCATGGGTTGCTGAAGACCAATTCTAACCCGGATCTTCAATAGTACATTATCAGTGTGACAAGCGATTAGATTAGATTACGTTTATTAAGAACTGTATCCCAGTACCCCATTATCGTCCCCAAGTCTGCAGTGGTTACCTTGGCGCAGTTAACAGTGTAGGAATTGCGATAGGCTTTATAGTGCCATTACTGTTTCATGGATCTCGGCCATACGTTTTGCTTGCTCGTCTGTATTGCCAAGAAGCTATGTGGGGGATAGAATCATGTTATAGCGCCAAAATTGTATTGTGGATCGTGCTATACATGTTGTTTGCTCGCCTCCGTTGCTAATAAGCAATCTTAAGCAGGGGCGGATACAGCTTTTTTGAGAAAGGGGGGGTCCACACTATTGATAAAAGGAGAGGTGCACACTTCATTTTCACCCGAGTTTCAATGGTCATTTAACAAACTTTCAGCACAAAGGGGTGTGGGGGCACCCAACCCCCCACCCCCGGATCCGCCTATGTTAAGTGTGATTGATTTGGCGCTGCGAGGGTTGTGTTGAACTTTGTCATGCTGTGTCTGTTCGTCTTCGTTGCTAAGAAGAAAGATTTACTTCAAACAAAAAGTCTACTTCTAAAAAACAAGTATCATCTTGACCAAAAGTGTCGGTTTTCTACATACCACAAACTGGTACGTATTTTTGGTGACATGACACTTTTCTCATCATGCAACAGCACCACATCTGTAGACGCGTTCTACAGAAACTATTTCCATAGCCATGGGAAGTCTTACTATATCTGTGAACGTTTCACTTGAGTATTATATGCTTATGATGTAATTTATGATGCAGACACCGTATATAAATATGTAATATTTGAAATGAGTTTCACTTTCAACTGTTCGGGCTTTTGCTTCGTATTGTATTTGGGTCCCACTGGCATTCCGAGAACAGGTATAGTTGAATCAAAAGAATCAGAGGGCTTGGTTCGACCACATCCCCGCTTTGTGCGGACCTATCGTCATCCACTTGTGACCAGATCGTTAAGTTGAGGGTCAAAATCGGCTTTCAATCGACTTGCAGAAATAACAATAAAGAATTGGTAGGTGTCATGAGTGGTTATCGATAGGCCAACCGTCCATGAATATGTTTACATTAAGTTTAATCGATTGCATGCAATGGTAGCGTAGCGATCGGCAAAGCAGTCAGGTGGGGTACACCGAAGTGCCCGGCCTTGTCATGATGTATTGTATTGTGAAGTACTTCGAGTCCCGTGGTGTGGTGTGGTGTGGTGTGGTGTGTGTGTGTGTGTGTGTTGAAATCTAAAATTGTTTTTTTAATCTTAAATCCCCGCAAAGACACGAGTGCGTGTGGAACAAACCGGAATATTTCTTATGCTAACGCTTTACACAATTCTCCCATTCATTCCAGTCTAAGTACACTTAGGCTCAGAATTATTCGTTACACTGCTATATACTGAGTCGAACAAAACAAAGTAGAAGGCCGCGTCAGCTAACCTTTGAGCGACAATTGACAGTCCAATTAAACGCGAGACGACCGAACGGATTTAACCAATCAGACAACGTCTACTTGTTAGGGTTCGGCGGGACTTACAAAACGGTTTTTGGATTTTCTCTTCCCTGGTCGCTGACACTGATCTATCAAACGAAAATCCGCATGAAACACGGATATTTGACCTGCAGTATATACGCCCAGGGGTTTCTCATGACATTGTTCCTATTATCTTATATTTTCGCAAGATGACATCCTTGAATATTGACAAAAAAACCGCTATTTTCTGCGATTGTTTACTCATTGCGTCCTCCATGTGTATCACTCGGAAGCGATCGTGAGGAAAGTAGCATTCGGAATCGTTCGAGTATTTTAGGTAAAGGTTCAAACGGTATGTGCGAATGTGAACTTTCGCGATTTGGTAAGCTGTGTTCTGATTGGTCAGTCGAAAAGGTTAACTGACCCGACCTTCTACTTGGGTTTGTTAGACTCGGTATATAGCAGTGTACAAACGAATAATACTGTGCCTAAGTTTACGTAGACTGCCATTAATTCTTAATGTGCAGCTTTAGTGATTAACAGTATGCGTTGGTATTAAATCTGCAGCTCATTTCGTCCGAGACCTTTATGTAAAATGGGTCTCGAATTAACAGATTAGTGGCTGTATCTACCCCAGCCCTAATAACACCGCTAAAGACTGCAGAATACATGAAAGGCATTTCGTTATTTTCTAAATCCCTAAAATTTCTAAAATGATCGATATCATGAGCAACGCTGGTTGGTTTGTTGTTTACCGCCGCACTCGTGCTATATTCCAGCTATATGAACAGCACGAGCATCGAGCCCTTGTGGTAACACGATCAACTTTCGGTAGCTCAACGAGTCGTGCACCATACCGAAAGTCACGGCCAGCGAACAACACAAAAACACCGGAGGGTCTGGAATGCATTATTTTATAAAACAACAAAGAAAGCACTACATATAACGGTGCAAATGTAACTTTTCCCCAACAGCATATATAATCATACCATTTCAGTCTGTCTGCTGAAAATAAAAGATGCCGTTACCAAAAAGAAAGAACAAACCCCAAAACAACACATACCAAACATAACCAGTATGTTGATGATGAAAACTGATGAAGCAGGAAGGCATCCATCATAATAATACAATCGTGAATATTTTCCAAAAAGGGCGATGCTGCAAGGTGAGTGAGTGAATTTGGTTTCACGCCGCTTTATAGCAATATTCTAGCAACATCACGGCGGGGGACACCAGAATTGGGCGTCACACATTGCATCTATGTGGGCAGAGACCATATAATAGATCTATTATATGGTCTCTGATGTGGGGAATCGAACCCAGGTCTTCGGCGTGACGAGCAAACGCTACTCCTCCGCCTCGATGCTGCCATGGATTCTTGCCTATAGGGTTTGGATGTTCGGGTTCAAAAGTGAATCTGGCGCCAGTTTAATACCACTATATTTTAGGAGCATTGTTTTGAACAAATCAAGTGTCATATTCGTTTTGAATCTTGGACTTCTGGATGGTTCACGACCATCGAACACCAAGCGAATTACTGCGCCAAACACTACTGGCACATCCATGTGCCATTGGGTGAATTACATACGTTACAGTCAGTATGCCGTTAATGGTGTTAAGTTGAACCAACACAAACCACAACCACAGGCAGTTGTATCATTGTAAAACTAAACATCGTCTGCAATATGCGGATACTATGATTATAGCAGGTGCGTAACTAAAGCTAAAGAACTGAAAGTAAGACTGGAATAATATACTGGAAAGCAACACCTGTGTCGTCAATATCAACTCCTCACACGGACCCAAGCATTGTAGAGTCACCGGGCTTCTCAGCCCAGTGTGGCGGCCATGATGCTTTCACGGATGGCCTGTCCTTGACCTTGTCGTAGTAGGCAGCGATGGCGGGATATTTAGAGAGGTCAAGGCCGAGTCTCACCCCGAAGGCAATATACGGAAAGAAGTAGACATCCGCCATGGTGAAGTTGCTGCCGACGACGTAGCCTCCGCTCTGTAGTAAGAAAGGCATATATTAAGGTAAGGTTAAGGTATTGATTGGAATGGTCGTATGCAGATACTATTCACCAATTTCTCCTCGTATTTATAATAACACAATCGGTATTCTATAGAAGTGTTAAGGTGGATTCAAGAACTATATACGTAGTTGGCATATTTAGATATGTAGAAGGTAATAAAGTGTATTGGGAAATCGGTCCAAGGTACTTGAAATCGACAATCGGATAAAGGAATTCGATCTAGTGATTTTGAGAATCAACTAGCGATTTGCAATTGGGGGGAAACAACTGAGAGAGAGAGAGAGAGAGAGAGAGAGAGAGAGCAAAACAACAAACAAGTAACAGCCAAACCATCCCGTAGTCCCCCCCCCCCCCCTCCTGGCAAACTTCCGATTGTAAAATTCATACAAATATGAGAGAGAGAGAGTGTGTGTGTGTGTCTATCTGTGCCTGTGTCAATTTTGTACACATGTACTTGTGGGGTCAGAATACGGAATCAATCCCTTTAGGAAAATGGACCGTGGTATATTGAGCACTATACCAGGTATGCTAAGGGATAAGTGACAATACGTACAGACGCGAGGTAACCGTCCCATATCTTCAACTCCGTCCGAAGACTCTCGTACTTTGTGGCCAACAGCTCCTGAAATACAAGAAAATACATTTAGACCACTGCACATTAGAGGGAGGTGAGGTGAGGTGAGGTGAAATTGGGTTTAACGTCGTGCTTGAGAATATTTCGCTCTTATGACGACGTGCATGCGTGTGTATGTGTATGTGCGGCTGCTTGTACTAGCCCAGACTTCAGCTGGTTTTGTAGTGCTAGCCCACTGAGATACCATGCCGCAGTGAAGCATGAATACCCCACTCAGACACATTATACTGACTCCGAGCCGACCAGTCCTTGTTGTACCCATTAATGCCGAGCGTCTTTTGGTATGACGCGGTCGGGGATCGACCCGCGACCTTCCACTCTCCGGGCGGACGCTCTAACCACTACACCACGGAGGCGGTCCATTAGAGGGAGGTGGTGCGAAGGAGTTGGGGTTAGAGTTTGGGTAGGAAGGGTATGGATTTCTAACCCAGACTGTATATACTGGAAACACGTGTAAGTGTTGTGAGAACTGGCGACAAAACCCGGTGACTGACCCTATGAGCAACGATCCCAGGTGGAATGTGAAATCACCAGTCAGACGGTTATGGACTTTACAGGCGATCTTCAGCATCGAAGGTGTACTTACACCACAGAATATTGTTTACATTAGCGAGTCCGGCAGCATGGTCAAATATACAAGTCATTTAATTTGAGAGTGGTGTCCTTTACTTTATAACAGGATCCACTGACAGTTTATGATCCATAGGGGTTCGGGTGCTGCACATTAATCGGTGGGTTCGGTCCACCAAAGTGGTAAATTATAGTGAGTGAGTTTAGCTTTACGCCGCACACAGCAATATTCCAGTTATATGGCGGCGGTCTGTAAATAATCGAGTCTGGACCAGACAATCCAGTGATCAACAGCATGAGTATCGATCTGCGCAGATGGGAACCGATGACATGTGTCAACCAAATCAGCTAGCCTGACCACCCGATCCCGTTAGCCGCCTCTTACGACAAGCATGGGTTACGTAGAGGGTAATGTCTGAGTAACTCTCCATTCCTTAAAAATAATGGAGCCGAGACCCCTGAGGAGCCGAGGCACATTATTTTTAAGGAATGGAGAGTTACGAGGATATTACCCTACTTAAATTACATTCGAAGTATTGGGAATATTTCTGTTATCAAAATTAAATGTCAAAACGACAAAATGAAGGTTTTATTTTGAAACTGGTACACATCGCTCCATTCCTGAAAAGTAATGGAGCGAACAGACAATGGAATGACGTCACAAATGTAATTTAATGAAGGTTCATTCTAACCCGGATCTTCACGGGTCAGTAAATTATACGGTGATGTGTATATGCTTGTAGTACCTTCGAGGGATTTAACTGTGACAGTCCTTGTCATCTGAAATACTATCCCGCTGTTCAACATGGATGCCCAACTAACCGGACCAGTAGGTGTTTTATCCACTTAATGCGGAGCACCAGTAAGTATATCCATCTCACATCATTTGGAGCAAGGCAGGCAGATATGTTTTCTCTCTGTTGTGTTGGTGTTTCAAGAAATACACTGCACTGAATGTTCAAATTTCTGTGATATAATTTTTTTTTTTGTCTTTGCCCTTCTGAGAGAAGGAAAATATGTCCTGAAGCCCTAGCTTCTCTTCAGTGACAGACATGTTCTGTACGATAACCGGGGCGGTGGGGTAGCCTTGTGGTTAAAGCGTTGGCTCGTCCCATAGAAGACCCGGTTCAATTCCCCACATGGGTACAATGTGTGAAGTCAATTTATGGCGTCCCCCGCCGTGATGTTGCTGGAATGTTGCTGAGAGAGACGTAAACTAAACAGTGCACGATAATCTCTGGGGTGGCTACTCGACAAGTCTGACACTACTTACATGATCAAGCTTGTCTTTATCAGTTCTGAATCTGTAATGAATGATGTTTGTGATGAGGTTACTGTCCACATTAGATACCTGTAGCAGAAGCAAAACAAAATACGATTGGTAAACAGAACATATATAGGCGGTTTAAATAGTATAATGAATGTATAACAGTTAACCGGCAATAGCTCACTAGTATACGTTCACAATCAGCTATACTAGTATACAATTACAATCAGCTATACTAGCATACAGTCACGGTCAGCTATACAACAAAAATGTAGTATAAAATCACAATTAGCTATACTAATATAGTCACGGTCAGCTATACTAGTATACAGTCACAATTAGCTATACTAGTATACAATCACAATCAGCTATACTAGTGTTCAACCACGGTCAGCTATACTAGTATACAATCACAATCAGCTATACTAGTGTTCAACCACGGTCAGCTATACTAGTATACAATCACAATCAGCTATACTAGTATACACTCACGGTCAGCTATACTAGTATACAGTAATGGTCAGCTATACTAGCATACAGTCACGGTCAGCTATACTAGCATACAGTCACAATCAGCTCTACTAGTATACAGTCACAATCAGCTATACTAGTGTTCAACCATGGTCAGCCATACTAGTATACAATCACAATCAGCTATACTAATTTACAGTCACGGTCAGCTATACTAGTCTACAGTCATGGTCAGCTATACTAGTATACAGTCACAGTCAGCTATACTAGTCTATAGTCACAGTCAGCTATACTAGTATACAGTCATGGTCAGCTATACTAGTCTACAGTCACAGTCAGCTATACTAGTATACACTCACGGTCAGCTATACTAGTCCATAGTCACAGTCAGCTATACTAGTATACAGTCATGGTCAGCTATACTAGTCTATAGTAACAGTCAGCTATACTAGTATACAGTCACGGTCAGCTATACTAGTCTACAGTAACAATCAGCGATACTAGTCTATAGTCACGGTCAGCTATACTAGTCTACAATCACGGTCAGCTATACTAGTCTATAGTCACAGTCAGCTATACTAGTCTACAGTAACAATCAGCTATACTAGTATACAATCACGGTCAGCTATACTAGTCTACAGTAACAATCAGCTATACTAGTATACAGTCACGGTCAGCTATACTAGCATACAGTCACGGTCAGCTATACTAGTATACAGTCACGGTCAGCTATACTAGGAACCAGTAGTCACGATCAGTTATACCGGAACGAAGCAATAATCACTTACACTAGCACTCAATCACAATCAGTTATACTAGTGTAAAAACAATCAGCTATTCAAGTGTAAGGGCAATCAAAATCAGCTTGTCTTAGGTCACAATTAACACCTTTGCTGTCTAACAAAGATTCAGGCATTAATTTAGTAGCAAAGATGCAACATTACGGTAGAATGCAAAATTACCGCGAAGGGAATGTTTACACATAGGGGGTTCAAATAGGTTTAAGATAAGTTAAACTTGTTCATATCTTGAACTTCGACATATGCAGGTTTACCTCACCTCGAAAATTCTCTGCAAGACTCGCCCTCGCTCGGCATTGTCGCCTGGAAGCAGTTTTGTTCCGCTGTCTGAAAATTTGTTCTGCAAAATAAAAGTATTTTGAATAAGATACATTTCCAAACAAAACGTTCAAGTTCGAGGAAGATATGGTTAAGGCGTTCACTCGTCATGCTGAAGATCCGGGTTCGATTCCCCACATGGGTACAATGTGTGAAGCCCATTTCTGGTGTCCCTCGCCGTGATATTGCCCAAAGCAGCTATTATATTTTACAGATATGACTGTTCATAATAAAAAAATGAAAAAGAGCCCTGAGACTTTTTTCATTTTCATTTCCTGTAACGTTTCCCTGGAAATCTAGACTTGTCACATATTCTAGACTTCCATGGGCTTTCTTGTATATATTTGTTTCAGGGTCTGTATCACATACTACGTCAAACCATCCTCACTCACTCTCTTCAAACACTGTTAACTCCAAGGTCAAATATAAAGAACCATAGCTGATTGTGACATATTCTTATAAATTTATTTGTTACAATGAACAAAACCTTCATACAAATAATAACTCTGCACAGACTTCCTTCTGATTGGTCAGGGTCTTGCAGACGTGGGCCTGCTGGGGCGTTCGGCACCACTCGCCCCTTTCCGTAACCTCCAAGGTTGTCTCGGAATAGCACGAGTTGGTCCACTCTCCTACCCAGAGTTCAATGCGGCAAGCCAGCATGGTACCTCTGCCACAGGCCAGAAAAATGTGACGATTCGTCACATCTTGCAATGTCCATTCAATATAATGTACAGATTCCTTTTACTCTTTTATTTTTGACGAGTCTACACATCTAACTAAACATCTTTAATAGAATGGTTTAGTTTCACTGAGAAAATATCCAAAAACAGGTAACACTATTTCGATTTGCGTAGCGATCCTTTGTTTACATAGGTTGTACGGCTCCACGTGCTGTCATCGAAGCCGACGGAGAGCAAACGATGCAGCCAGTTTGATATCATAATATGTACTGGCATAGACCTAACTGTCGCAGCTGTAGAAGAATATAAATGTAACAATGTAAAACATTATGAAGAGAGCGCCGAAAAGCTTTTGTGAGTCCAGTCTCTTCTTATTATGAATATGCGCGTTTGATTACAAACAAGAGAAAAGTCCGGTCACGTGATGTGCAAATTAGCCTGTGGCAGTGATGTTATGCTAAGTCATCGCTGTGCCGGAGTGTGGAGTTGGTCACGAATGCTGCTGAGGGTCACCAAGTGCGAAGTACGCATCATATCGAATAGCGCACGTAAAATCTCCAAATCATGACCATGAAAATAATGATCATCATCATCTGAGGGTCATTAATTCAACATTGTATTGTGCTGGCGCGTTAGGTCTCAAGCGAAGTGCAGGACTTTTAATTATATCCAACAACGCATGCATTTTATAACTGGTAACACAATTTTATGCGTTTCGGTGCACAAATAACAAACCAGAAAAAGCACTATATTAAAGCAAATAACACTAATTACATACCTTTGACAGACAGTATTTCTAAATAAATACTTTTCACAGAAAAAAGTAACTGCATACATGTAAACAGAAAAGGGACCCGGTAATGTTGTAGATTCTGGTCTTCTTCAGTTATGGTTTTGCAGCACGTGCTGCGCTGATGGGAAATAAACAGGGTCCAGGGACTGTGAGACAAACTACAAATTGGTGTAAAAATACCTCAACAAACCAGCATTACTTACCAACATTACTTATATTCATTAGAACAGAAACAAACACGAGATAAGGCAACTGAATGCTTCACGTTTTATTATCATCCAATTAGAAAACTGTAGACCGTTAGTATGCTTGAATGGGAACGATTTTTTAATGGATAGACAACTTCTTTTTTGCAATGGATCCGACGTTTCTGTGTAGATGCTAATCCCGTTATTAAGCAAGTGCTAAACAAGTGAACAAGGAGTGTATATGCATGAAGGATGTTCATCGTACCAGCTTCTAAATACCACCTTAACTTATCAAATATTTCAGTTTTATATGCAAACCACAAAAATAATTACAATCAGTGACACGGAATCACTTGCAATATATCTATTTCAGTCTCAAGACGACAACGTGAAACTCAGCACGTTGACTACTGAATGTCAGTGAATCAGGCCACTTGTTCTCGGTCTCTCCGTGACCCTCTTCAAGTTGTCACGGAATGTCCCGAGTTGGTCTTGATTTAACGTGAACATGGCGCGATTTGACAACACCCCTCGTTATATGAAACAGACCGGAAAGTCGCGAGTGGTGACGAGCTCTCCCACTATAGGCCTGGTATACATGTCTATACACGAACTACCTCTGCCAGATCTATATGTATCACGCACGATCAGAGATCAATAATGTGTATATGTTGAATGTAAGCCTCTGCACGATGCCACAGTGGCATGGTGCTAGTGACCTAAATATTTCACTTGAGAGTCACCACACACACGCGTACTTATACTGTTTTAAGGTTTGTGAAACTGCAACAAATTCTCGTCACGCTGAAGACCGGGTTCGATTCCTAACATGGTTACATTGTCAGCAGCCAGTTCTTAGAAACTGAAACATGCGGGTTGACTACTGCGAAACTACTGGACAAGCGTTACATTATTTGCTATTGTCGGCTTTAATGCTGTGATTCTGGTTTACCTCAAGATAAAAACAGATGGCGCCGGACTCGTTCACAACAACGTCGCCATCTTTGAAGGTCGGCACCTGAAACAAATTTCAAAACCAAATGTAAACAACAAACATCATTATCACCATGCGCACGTTTACAACAACAATGATAAGGAATGTTGCTGGGCTTGTCCAGACTCGAATATTTCCAGACATCTGTCATATAGCACGAATATTACCGTGTGACGGCGTTAAACAACACACGCAAAAACATATAATCCTTCTCTTTTCTTTTAAAAAAAATGACGATGTTAGCGTCTTAATCTTAACTTAGTGATTCTCAATAATTGAGATTCGTGGTAGAACTGAAAAAGCACAGTTTAGTTGGCTTCGGACGAAATATATTTAAAAACAGTTAAGGACCACCCCAATATTCAATATTTAAGTATTATATGGATTATAACATAAACTATTGAATACTTTAATATTGGAAATCGGGGGTGGTCCTTAACTTTTTTTGTTAAGTATATATTCATATACATGTATTCATGTTAACATACACACATATTTAAAAAGGTTATGATGAGGCTGTTTAATATAATCTCTTGAATGAGGGAGTCGTGCACATGTTGTACTGTTGGTCAAGCATCATGTTACAGTCTGATAGCTGCATATGTAGCTGTGACATAATGTCTCTGTACTCATAGGGTTGGCGTCGAAGGAGACATGTTGCATATCTGCCAACTCTTACGCCTTTGACTTGAGTCTCACGCTTCTATTACTCATGTCACCCTCCAACGACAAAACTGATAAATTTCATGCCAAATTAAGTTCATATGAAAAATATAGATAAAACACACATCGTTTTCAGTGACTTTTCTGAGAAGGGCATTTGCAGTAACTTCCTACCACAGCTCCCTTCATAATATTTAGTGTTTTGATAGTTTTTCATATATCGGACATACGCGACAGTTATATCAATACGTCAGTACGTATACCTCTCAAAGCTTATTGAATAATGTTTAGTGTTTTGTGAGGCCTATGCTATAGACAGTTTCTCATATATCGGACATCATGACTAAGCAATTTAAAAACCCACTCAACGAATAGTGAACTCCGTAACATAACACAGGCGACACTTTGGCGTGTCACCGTATAATCAATACAAGAGAGTCTGGTAATTCCGCGCGTCCGGTAATTCTGCGCAGATCGTCTGCTGCCACATTTACGCTTGAAATCGGGACATTTCTACAAGGGACTGGCTTTTTATCACTAAAGGTAAGTAAATAACAGTAACTGACAGATAAATTGACAGTTTTATGAAAATTCGTTTTCATTCAGACTTTAAAACCTTTTTTTTCATCATTCATAATTGGATTTAATATGAAACACTCCTCCTTACATTGATGAAGTGATTTTTGAAAATAATCTGACTCTAATATGCTTCCATACTTCGGATCTCCAGCTGGATGTTATTCGCATCAGTTGCTGCGCAGAATTACCGGACACCAAGCGATGTCGTCAGAACGCCGGTAAGGTCAACCATATGGCAGAGTTACAGATAACTTTTTGGGTCATTGAGTTATGTACCCGCTTGTCTTCATCTCAATTGGGTATCCTTATTTTCCTTTGAGTAACCAAACAAATTGTACTCACCTCACTCAAAATCAATCGGGTATTTTGCCTTTTTCCATTAATTGTTAAAAAATAATAAAGTTTAAATGTTAGTGTTTGTTATTTATATTTGATCTGTAATATGAGAAACGATATGAAAGACTGCTAGTTGAGTGTTCATGTGCCGAAATAGAACCTCTAAATATACCTCAGTTGCTTAATCTATCCACTGGTACGCAAGCTAAGATTTGACAGTTTTCTGTGTACGCATTTACAATCAAATTTATTGAGTATTTACAAAAATACAAGCGTACTTGTACGCAACAGACGTAATAGGAATTGAGTTTTCACATAAATATTTGCGTAATTTACGCTGATACGCAGCTTATCTGTACCTCTGTCATATGGAATAATGCAACGTTAGAATGTTATATTTCTAGGTAAATATGATGCATACTAGCATGTTTAGTCACGTAAACCACAAAAAATAAGAGTCGTTAGTTGCCGTGTTGCGATCGATGTGCTTAGGTGCGCGGAATTACCGAGCGGCATTTTAAGTGTAGTGTACCTATCAAAGCTCCCTTCATAATATATTTAGTGTTTTGTAAGGACTATGCTATAGACAGTTTCTCATATATCGGACATCATGACTAAGCAATTTAAAACCCCACTCAACGAATAGTCCACTCTATAACATAGGCGACAGTTATGTCAATACGTCAGTACGTATAACCTCTCAAAGCTCATTTAATAATGTTTAGTGTTTTGTGAGGCCTATGCTATAGACAGTTTCTCATATATCGGACATCGTGACTAAGCAATTTAAAAACCCATTCAACGAATAGTGAACTCCATAACATAACATAGGCGACACTTTGACGTGTCACCGTTTAATCAATAGGCATAAGTAAGTATATATCTCTCAAAGCTCCCCTCATAACATTTAGTGTTTTGTTAAGCCTAAGCTATAGACAGTTTCTCAAAATATCGGACATCGTGACTAAGCAATTCAACAACCCTTTCAACTAATATACATAGTCCTTCTCTGTAACATATATAGGCGACACTTTGCCGTGTCACCGCTTTATCATTACGTACGTAAGTGTACCTATCAAAGCTCTCTTCAGAACATTTCGTGTTTTGTTATGCCTATGTATTTCTGATAGACAGGTTCTCATATTCCGGACCTCAAACGATGCAAAGGAACAGCGGTGTCGATGCATTTTAAGCCCCATAACATAACATTACATCGCTTACCTGACCCCGTGGGTTGAGTTTCAAGACCTCCTCCGACTTGTGCTCCTTGTCGCTGAAGGAAATCTTCTTATTCGGGTAGCCCGAGAATCCCTTTTCTTCCAGAACCAACATGGGTTTCCAACAGGGAATGCTCCCAGACCCCCAGTACAAAAACATGTTGGACGACATGTTTGAAACGCTCAGTCGATGTGCAGTTTCTCGCTACAGTGTCAAGCGAGACAGCGCTGTTGTCGGTGTGCGAGGGTTCAGCGAAGTGTGTCAGTCAAAAGGTCAAGGACGACACGCAATGTCCCTCAAGATAAAAAGAAATAATGAACCAAGTTCTGCACAGAGAAAACTCACAACAGGTTCCGAGTAGGCCGCAATGTAAGGGAGGTAACTGTAGCGTTTCTTCAAGAGTCTCGCTTTGAATGTTGAAACTGCATGCCTTTGAAATTGTTGTAGCCTGCGGATGTGGTGAACACTTAACAGTTTGATTTTTGTAGAATAATTTATTACTCAGAGAAAAAAGTATGACATGCGAATATAAATGAAGTCCAACCCGAATACGATTACGGTGTTTTGAAAATATACTTCACTGCTCAAGTGGGGCTGTTGGGTAGCCTCGTGGTTAAAGCGTTCGCCCTTCACGCCGAAGACCCGATTTCGATTCCCCACATTCGTACAATGTTTGAAGCCCATTTACTTTGTATCATCACTTTGTATCACTCACTCACTCACTCCTCAAGTCTCTGATTCACTATCGTTGTCGGGGCGGTGAGGTAGCCTAGTGGTTAAAGCATTGGCTCGTCACGCCAAAGACCCGGGTTCGATTCCCCACATGGGTACAATGTGTGAAGGCCATTTCTGGTGTGATATTGCTGGAATATTGCTAAAAGCGGCGTAAAATTATATTCACTCACTCACTATCGTTGTCACAGTTGCAGCCAGGATACAACTTAAGAAAAAAGGGAAAGGAACACATTATTTTATTGTATCACTGAAGGTACAACGAATAGGTACAAGGCTATCTGTAAAATATTCTGATATATGTGTAAGCAGGCGCGTAGCAAGCCCGATAGTTTGCAAAGTTTATATGTAGATAGTATCGAGGGCTTGCCCAACCTTTTCAGCAACAATCATGTGTAAGCCCGGGCTTTCTTGTATAATGGTAGCTACGCCCCTTGTAAGTATAGTGGAAAACGTGGCCAGTAAGATCTCAGGCTTATGAGTGTTTTCGGATTAGAAAAACGTTGCTGCCACGGTTGTCGTTCTTTGGTTCGGTACAAAGTGAGTGTGAATTTTGATAAAAACCTAAAGCCGCCTCGATCATTAAAATTGTTATTTATTTATATCGGTGGTACTGCATGTAGTATAGCAGACATTACTGCGAGCACGGATACGGCATGGCGGACCAAGGTTCGTAGCTGGGGCGAATCGTGGTAATGAACCAAGACACAGCTCTGCTTAAAGAATATCTTTATTCCACAGATCCAACCGTGTACCAAATCAGAAAAAGTTCGTGTGTTACCGTGACTTTAGATAAGAGTTGATTGCAACGTAAAGAAACCAAAGCAGTTCATAGCTGGATCTTATAAAACATCTCGCGAAATGTCTGGCTAATATGACTTTGACTAAAGCAAAACTAAAGCTGTTGGGTTAAAAGCATTGGATAATATGCCGAGAAGCTACAGCCTTTTGTCGCCATTCTCAACGACAGTTCCTAAACAGGTCCAAAGATTGAAGTGTCACCGGGACCATCAGCCCAGTGTGGCGGCCATGTTGCTTTCACGGATGGCCTGTCCTTGACCTTGTCGTAGTAGGCAGCAGTGGCGGGATATTTAGAGAGGTCAAGGCCGAGTCTCACCCCGAAGGCGACAAACGGAAAGAAGTAGACATCAGCCATGGTGAAGTTGCTGCCGACGACGTAGCCTCCGCTCTGTAGTATGAAAGGCATTTATTAGAATAGTGGCAAGAACATTATAATCACCCTTGTCATCATGCACTCACGCATAACAAGGTGAGTGAGTGAGTTAGTTTACTCGGCAATATTCCAGCTATATGGTCTGTAAATGATAGAATCTGGACCAGAAAATCAAGTGATTAACAGCATGATCATCGATCTACGCAAATGGGACATATGTCATGTGTCAACCAAGTCAGCGAGCCTGACCACCCGATCCCGTTAGTCGCCTCTTACGACAAGCATGGGTTAATGAAGATCAATTCTAACCCGGATCTTCACAGGTGCATAACAAGGTATTTTAACATGGCTGGTAACGGAAGGCATAATAATTCACATAATTACAAGTGTATTGGCTACGGGGATATCAGATATGATAATTGGTAGCATTGGATATGTGGAATCGATCCAAGGAATCGGTAATTGAAAAGTAGGGTTATGGGGAAATCAAACGCCGGGTAAGGCTGAATCAAAGGAAATGGAAGAAACACAGGGTATTAGGTACTACGTACCAGATATGGCTGAACTATACAACAGGTATGGGGGTATCAAACAACAGGTATGGGGGAATCAAACACCAGGTATGGGGGTATCAAACACCAAGTATGGGGGGATCAAACACCAGGTATGGGGGTATCAAACACCAAGTATGGGGGATCAAACAACAGGTATGGGGAATCAAACACCCAGTATGGGGGTATCAAACAACAGATATGGGGGAATCAAACAACAGGTATGGGGGTATCAAGCAACAGAAATGGGGGAATCAAAAAACAGGCATGGGGGTATCAAACACCAAGTATGGGGGGATCAAACAACAGGTATGGGGGAATCAAACACCCAGTATGGGGGTATCAAACAACAGATATGGGGGAATCAAACAACAGGTATGGGGGTATCAAGCAACAGATATGGGGGAATCAAACAACAGGCATGGGGGTATCATACAACAGGTATAGAGGAATCAAACAACAGGTATGGGGGAATCAAACAACAGGTATGGCGGAAACAAACAAAAGGTATGGAGGTATCAAGCAGCAGGTATGGGGGTATCATACAACAGGTATGGGGGATATCATACAACAGGTATAGAGGCATCAAACAACAGGTATGGGGGTATCAAGCAACAGATATGGGGGTATCAAACACCAGGTATAGAGGAATCAAACAACAGGTATAGAGGAATCAAACAGGTATGGGGGAAAAAACCAAAGGTATGGGGGTATCAAGCAACAGGTATGGGGGTATCATACAACAGGTATAGAGGAACCAAACAACAGGTATAGAGGAATCAAACAACAGGTATGGGGGAAACAAACAAAAGGTATGGGGGTATCAAGCAACAGGTATGGGAGTATCAAACACCAGGTATGGGGTATCATACAACAGGTATAGATGAATCAAACAACAGGTATAGAGGAACCAAACAACAGGTATAGAGGAATCAAACAACAGGTATGGGGGAAACAAACAAAAGGTATGGGGGTATCAAGCAACAGGTATGGGGGTATCATACAACAGGTATGGGGATATCATACAACAGGTATAGAGGAATCAAACAACAGGTATGGGGGAAATAAAACAACAGGTATGGGAAACAAACAAAAGGTATGGGGGTATCAAGCAACAGGTATGGGGGATATCATGCAACAGGTATAGAGGAATCAAACAACAGGTATGGGGGAAACAAACAACAGGTATGGGGGAAACAAACAAAAGGTATTGGGGTATCAAGCAACAGGTATGGGGATATCATACAACAGGTATAGAGGAATCAAACAACAGGTATGGGGGAAACAAACAAAAGGTATGGGGGTATCAAGCCACAGGTATGGGGGTATCATACAACAGGTATGGGGGATATCATACAATAGGTATAGAGGAATCAAACAACAGGTATTGGGGAATCGAACAACAGGTATGGGGGTATCAAGCAACAGATATGGGGTATCAAACACCAGGTATGGGGGTATCATACAACAGGTATAGAGGAATAAAAAAACAGGTATAGAAGAATCAAACAACAGGTATGGGGGAAACAAACAAAAGGTATGGGGGTATCAAGCAACAGGTATGGGGGTATCATACAACAGGTATGGGGATATCATACAACAGGTATAAACACCAGGTATGGGGGTATCAAGCAACAGGTATGGGGGTAGATGAGATCAAACAACAGGTATAGAGGAACCAAACAACAGGTATAGAGGAATCAAACAACAGGTATGGGGAAACAAACAAAGGTATGGGGGTATCAAGCAGCAGGTATGGGGGTATCAGCAACAACAGGTATGGGGGATATCATACAACAGGTATAGAGGAATCAAACAACAGGTGGGGGAAATAAAACAACAGGTATGGGGAAACAAACAAAGGTATGGGGTATCAAGCAGCAGGTATGGGGATATCATGCAACAGGTATAGAGGAATCAAACAACAGGTATGGGGGAAACAAACAACAGGTATGGGGGAAACAAACAAAAGGTATTGGGGTATCAAGCAACAGGTATGGGGATATCATACAACAGGTATAGAGGAATCAAACAACAGGTATGGGGGAAACAAACAAAAGGTATGGGGGTATCAAGCCACAGGTATGGGGGTATCATACAACAGGTATGGGGGATATCATACAATAGGTATAGAGGAATCAAACAACAGGTATTGGGGAATCGAACAACAGGTATGGGGGTATCAAGCAACAGATATGGGGTATCAAACACCAGGTATGGGGGTATCATACAACAGGTATAGAGGAATAAAAAAACAGGTATAGAAGAATCAAACAACAGGTATGGGGGAAACAAACAAAAGGTATGGGGGTATCAAGCAACAGGTATGGGGGTATCATACAACAGGTATGGGGGATATCATACAACAGGTATAGAGGAATCAAGCAACAGGTATGGGGGAAACAAACAAAAGGTATGGGGGTATCAAGCAACAGGTATGGGGGATATCATACAACAGGTATAGAGGAATCAAGCAACAGGTATGGGGGAAACAAACAAAAGGTATGGGGGTATCAAGCAACAGGTATGGGGGTATCATGTAGAATGTCAAACATCGAGTTTGGGGATTCCAACAACAGAGCGAAGGCTTGTTTGGTTATCATGCACCGGGTATGGGGGAATGAAAGACTAGGTATGGGGTATCAAACACCAGGTATGGGTGTATCAAACACCGGGTATGGGGGAATAAAAGACTAGGCATGGAGGTATCAAACACCAGTTATAGGAGTATCAAACACCAGGTATAGGGGTATCAAACACCAGTTATAGGGGTATCAAACACCAGGTATAGGGGTATCAAACAGGTGGAATGGAAGACCAAGGTGTGGTGGAATCAAACGCTACGTACGGGGGTGAAGTGATGGAGGATAATGTATCGGGTATGCATAATCGGTCCACCCCTGGATTGTTCGGTACTTACAGCCGCGAGGTAGCCCTCCCATAATTTCAACTCCTCTCGGACAGCCTCGTACTTCGTCTGTAACAGCTCCTGAAATACAAAATGAATATATCAAAGAAACATAAACGCAAAATCAACAGTCAGGCGGTGGGAAGCAGTGACCTTCACCGATGGTGGCAGTCACGGATTTAAGAGAGAGGGCGGCCTTCACCGATGGTGGCAGTCACGGATTTAAGAGAGAGGGCCGCCTTCACCGAGGGTGGCAGTCACGGATTTAAGAGTGAGGGCGGCCTTCCCAATTGTGGCAGTCACTCATTCAAAGAGACAGGGCAGCCTTCCCCGATGGTGGCAGTCACGGATTTAAGCCTTCACCGATAGTGGCGGTCGCGGATTTAAGAGAGAAGGGCGGCCTTCACCGATGGTGGCAGTCACGGACACAGAGAGAGAGGACGGCCTTCCCCAATGGTGGCAGTCACGGATTTAAGAGGGAGGGCGGCATACCCGATGGTGGCAGTCACGGATTCAAGAGAGAGGGCAGCCTTCCCGATGGTGCCAGTCACGGATGTAAGAAGAGAGGGCGGCCTTCACCGATAGTGGCAGTCACGGATTTAAGAGGAGGGCAGCATACCCGATGGTGGCAGTCACGGATTCAAGAGAGGGCAGCCTTCCCGATGGTCCCAGTCACGGATTTTTTAGAAAGGGCGGCATACCCGATTGTGGCAGTCACGGATAGGGAGAGAGTGGACGGCCTTCCCGATGGTGGCAGTCACGGTTATGAGAGAGGGCGGCATAACCGATGGTGTCAGTCACGGATTTAAGAAAGAGGGCGGCCTTCCTGATGGTGGCAGTCACGGATATGAGAGAGAGGACGGCCTTCCCGATGGTGGCAGTCACGGATTTTAGAGAGAGGCGGCATTACCGATGGTGGCAGTCACAGATTTAAGAGAGAGGTGGCCTTCCCGATGGTGCCAGTCATGCATTTAAGAGAGAGGGCGGCCTTCCCCGATGGTGGCAGTAACGGATTTAAGAGAGGGGGCGGCTTTCCCGATGGTGGCAGTCATGGATTTAAAAGAGAGGGCGGCCTACCCGATGGTGGCAGTCACGGATTTAAGAGAGAGGGCGGCCTTCACCGAGAGTGGCAGTCACGGATTTAAGAGGGAGGGCAACATACCCGATGGTGGCAGTCACGGATTCAAGAGAGAGGGCAGCCTTCCCGATGGTGGCAGTCATGGATTTTAGAGAGAGGGCGGCATACCCGATTGTGGCAGTCACGGATAGGAGAGAGTGGACGGCCTTCCCGATGGTGGCAGTCATTGATTTATGAGAGAGGGCGGTATAACCGATGGTGTCAGTCACGGATTTAAGAAAGAGGGCGGTCTTCCTGATGGTGGCAGTCACGGATATGAGAGAGGACGGCCTTCCCGATGGTGGCAGTCACAGATTTAAGAGAGGGCGGCCTTCACCGATAGTGGCGGTCACGGATTTAGAGAGAGGGCGGCCTTCACCGATGGTGGCAGTCACGGACATGAGAGAGAGGACGGCCTTCCCAATGGTGGCAGTCACGGATTTAAGAGGAGAGGGCATACCCGATGGTGGCAGTCACGGATTCAAGAGAGGGCAGCCTTCCCGATGGTGCCAGTCACGGATGTAAGAGAGAGGGCGGCCTTCACCGATAGTGGCAGTCACGGATTTAAGAGGGAGGGCAGCATACCCGATGGTGGCAGTCACGGATTCAAGAGAGGGCAGCCTTCCCGATGGTGCCAGTCACGGATTTTAGAGAGGGGCGGCATACCGGTGTGGCAGTCACGGATAGGAGAGTGGACGGCCTTCCGATGGTGGCAGTCACGGATTTATGAGAGGGCGGCATAACCGATGGTGTCAGTCACGGATTTAAGAAAGAGGGCGGCCTTCCTGATGGTGGCAGTCACGGATATGAGAGAGAGGACGGCCTTCCCGATGGTGGCAGTCACGGATTTTAGAGAGAGGGCGGCATTACCGATGGTGGCAGTCACAGATTTAAGAGAGAGGGTGGCCTTCCCGATGGTGCCAGTCATGCATTTAAGAGAGAGGGCGGCCTTCCCCGATGGTGGCAGTAACGGATTTAAGAGAGGGGGCGGCTTTCCCGATGGTGGCAGTCATGGATTTAAGAGAGAGGGCGGCCTTCCCGATGGTGGCAGTCACGGATTTAAGAGAGAGGGCGGCCTTCACCGATAGTGGCAGTCACGGATTTAAGAGGGACGACAGCATACCCGATGGTGGCAGTCACGGATTCAAGAGAGAGGGCAGCCTACCCGATGGTGGCAGTCACGGATTTAAGAGAGAGGGCGGCCTTCACCGATGGTGGCAGTCACGGATTTAGGGCCGCTTCACCGAGGGTGGCAGTCACGGATTTAAGAGTGAGGGCGGCCTTCCCAATTGTGGCAGTCACTCATTCAAAGAGACAGGGCAGCCTTCCCCGATGGTGGCAGTCACGGATTTAAGAGAGAGGGCGGCCTTCCCAATGGTGGCAGTCACGGATTTAAGAGAGAGGGCGGCCTTCCCCGATGGTGGCAGTCACGGATTTAAGAGAGAGGGCGGCCTTCCCAATGGTGGCAGTAACGGATTTAAGAGGGAGGGCGGCATACCCGATGGTGGCAGTCACGGATTCAAGAGAGAGGGCAGCCTTCCCGATGGTGCCAGTCACGGATGTAAGAGAGAAGGCGGCCTTCACCGATAGTGGCAGTCACGGATTTAAGAGGGAGGGCAGCATACCCGATGGTGGCAGTCACGGATTCAAGAGAGAGGGCAGCCTTCCCGATGGTCCCAGTCACGGATTTTAGAGAAAGGGCGGCATACCCGATTGTGGCAGTCACGGATAGGAGAGAGTGGACGGCCTTCCCGATGGTGGCAGTCACGGATTAATGAGAGAGGGCGGCATAACCGATGGTGTCAGTCACGGATTTAAGAAAGAGGGCGGCCTTCCTGATAGTGGCAGTCACGGATATGAGAGAGAGGACGGCCTTCCCGATGGTGGCAGTCACGGATTTTAGAGAGAGGGCGGCATTACCGATGGTGGCAGTCACAGATTTAAGAGAGAGGGTGGCCTTCCCGATGGTGCCAGTCATGCATTTAAGAGAGAGGGCGGCCTTCCCCGATGGTGGCAGTAACGGATTTAAGAGAGGGGGCGGCTTTCCCGATGGTGGCAGTCATGGATTTAAGAGAGAGGGCGGCCTTCCCGATGGTGGCAGTCACGGATTTAAGAGAGAGGGCGGCCTACCCGATGGTGGCAGTCACGGATTTAAGAGAGAGGGCAACATACCCGATGGTGGCAGTCACGGATTCAAGAGAGAGGGCAGCCTTCCCGATGGTGGCAGTCATGGATTTTAGAGAGAGGGCGGCATACCCGATTGTGGCAGTCACGGATAGGAGAGAGTGGACGGCCTTCCCGATGGTGGCAGTCATTGATTTATGAGAGAGGGCGGTATAACCGATGGTGTCAGTCACGGATTTAAGAAAGAGGGCGGTCTTCCTGATGGTGGCAGTCACGGATATGAGAGAGAGGACGGCCTTCCCGATGGTGGCAGTCACAGATTTAAGAGAGAGGGCGGCCTTCACCGATAGTGGCGGTCACGGATTTAAGAGAGAGGGCGGCCTTCACCGATGGTGGCAGTCACGGACATGAGAGAGAGGACGGCCTTCCCAATGGTGGCAGTCACGGATTTAAGAGGGAGGGCGGCATACCCGATGGTGGCAGTCACGGATTCAAGAGAGAGGGCAGCCTTCCCGATGGTGCCAGTCACGGATGTAAGAGAGAGGGCGGCCTTCACCGATAGTGGCAGTCACGGATTTAAGAGGGAGGGCAGCATACCCGATGGTGGCAGTCACGGATTCAAGAGAGAGGGCAGCCTTCCCGATGGTGCCAGTCACGGATTTTAGAGAGGGGGCGGCATACCCGATTGTGGCAGTCACGGATAGGAGAGAGTGGACGGCCTTCCCGATGGTGGCAGTCACGGATTTATGAGAGAGGGCGGCATAACCGATGGTGTCAGTCACGGATTTAAGAAAGAGGGCGGCCTTCCTGATGGTGGCAGTCACGGATATGAGAGAGAGGACGGCCTTCCCGATGGTGGCAGTCACGGATTTTAGAGAGAGGGCGGCATTACCGATGGTGGCAGTCACAGATTTAAGAGAGAGGGTGGCCTTCCCGATGGTGCCAGTCATGCATTTAAGAGAGAGGGCGGCCTTCCCCGATGGTGGCAGTAACGGATTTAAGAGAGGGGGCGGCTTTCCCGATGGTGGCAGTCATGGATTTAAGAGAGAGGGCGGCCTTCCCGATGGTGGCAGTCACGGATTTAAGAGAGAGGGCGGCCTTCACCGATAGTGGCAGTCACGGATTTAAGAGGGACGACAGCATACCCGATGGTGGCAGTCACGGATTCAAGAGAGAGGGCAGCCCACCCGATGGTGGCAGTCATGGATTTAAGAGAGAGGGCGGCATACCCGATGGTGGCAGTCACGGATTTAAGAGAGAGGGCGGCCTACCCGATGGTGACAGTCATGGATATGAGAGAGAGGATGGCCTTCCCGATCTGGCAGTCACGGATTTAAGAGAGAGGGCGGCCTTCACCGATAGTGGCAGTCACGGATTTAAGAGACGGGGCGGCCTTCCCCTATGGTGGCAGTCACGGATTTAAGAGAGAGGGCAGCCTTCCCGATGGTGGCAGTCACGGATTTAAGAGAGAGGGCGGCCTTCACCGATAGTGGCAGTCACGGATTTTAGAGAGAGGGCGGCATACCCGATTGTGGCAGTCACGGATAGGAGAGAGTGGACGGCGTTCCCGATGGTGGCAGTCACGGATTTATGAGAGAGGGCGGCATAACCGATGGTGGCAGTCACGGATTTTAGAGAGAGGGCATCATTACCGATGGTGGCAGTCACGGATTTAAGAAAGAGGGCGGCCTTCCCGATGGTGCCAGTCACGCATATGAGAGAGAGGACGGCCTTCCCGATGGTGGCAGTCACGGATTTTAGAGAGAGGGCATCATTACAAATGGTGGCAGTCACGGATTTAAGAAAGAGGGTGGCCTTCCCGATGGTGCCAGTCACGGATATGAGAGAGAGGACAGCCTTCCCGATGGTGGCAGTCACGGATTCAAGAGAGAGGGTGGCCTTCCCGATGGTGCCAGTCATGCATTTAAGAGAGAGGGCGGCCTTCCCGATGGTGGCAGTCACGGATTTAAGAGAGAGGGCGGCCTACCCGATGGTGGCAGTCATGGATTAAAGAGAGAGGGCGGCATACCCGATGATGGCAGTCACGGATTTAAGAGAGAGGGCGGCATACCCGATGGTGACAGTCACGGATATGAGAGAGAGGACGGCTTTCCCGATTTGGCAGTCACGGATTCAAGAGAGAGTGCGGCCTTTCCGATGGTGGCAGTCACGGATTTTAGAGAAAGCGCGGCCTTCCCGATTGTGGCAGTCACGGATTTAAGAAAGAGGGTGGCCTTCCCGATGGTGGCAGTCACAGATATGAGAGAGAGGACGGCCTTCCCGATGGGGGCAGTCACGGATTTTAGAGAGAGGGCATCATTACCGATGGTGGCAGTCACGGATTTAAGAAAGAGGGCGGCCTTCCCGATGGTGCCAGTCACGGATTCAAGAGAGAAGGTGGCCTTCCCGATGGTGCCAGTCATGCATTTAAGAGAGAGGGCGGCCTTCCCGATGGTGGCAGTCACGGATTTAAGAGAGAGGGCGGCCTACCCGATGGTGGCAGTCATGGATTAAAGAGAGAGGGCGGCATACCCGATGATGGCAGTCACGGATTTAAGAGAGAGGGCGGCATACCCGATGGTGACAGTCACAGATATGAGAGAGAGGACGGCTTTCCCGATCTGGCAGTCACGGATTCAAGAGAGAGTGCGGCCTTTCCGATGGTGGCAGTCACGGATTTTAGAGAAAGCGCGGCCTTCCCGATTGTGGCAGTCACGGATTTAAAAGAGAGGATGGCCTTCCCGATGGTGGCAGTCACTCATTTAAAGGGAGAGGGTGGCCTTCCCGATGGGGTCAGTCACGGATTTAAGAGAGAGGGCGTCCTACCCAATGGTGGCAGTCATGGATTTAAGAGAGAGGGCGTCCTACCCAATGGTGGCAGTCATGGATTTAAGGGAGAGGGCGTCCTACCCAATGGTGGCAGTCATGGATTTAAGAGAGAGGGCGTCCTACCCGATGGTGGCAGTCATGGATTTAAGAGAGAGGGCGTCCTACCCAATGGTGGCAGTCATGGATTTAAGAGAGAGGGCGTCCTACCCGATGGTGGCAGTCACGGATTTAAGAGAGAGGGCGTCCTACCCGATGGTGGCAGTCACGGATTTTAGAGAAAGTGCGGCCTTCCCGATTGTGGCTGTCACGGATTCAAAAGAGAGGGTGGCCTTCCCGATGGTGCCAGTCATGCATTTAAGAGAGAGGGCGGCCTTCCCGATGGTGGCAGTCACGGATTTAAGAGAGAGGGCGGCCTACCCGATGTTGGCAGTCATGGATTAAAGAGAGAGGGCGGCATACCCGATGATGGCAGTCACGGATTTAAGAGAGAGGGCGGCATACCCGATGGTGACAGTCACGGATATGAGAGAGAGGACGGCTTTCCCGATCTGGCAGTCACGGATTTTAGAGAAAGCGCGGCCTTCCCGATTGTGGCTGTCACGGATTCAAAAGAGAGGGTGGCCTTCCCGATGGTGGCAGTCACTCATTCAAAGGGAGAGGGCGGCCTTCCCGATGGGGGCAGTCACGGATTTAAGAGAGAGGGCGTCCTACCCAATGGTGGCAGTCATGGATTTAAGAGAGAGGGCGTCCTACCCGATGGTGGGAGTCATGGATTTAAGAGAGAGGGCGTCCTACCCAATGGTGGCAGTCATGGATTTAAGAGAGAGGGCGTCCTACCCGATGGTGGCAGTCATGGATTTAAGGGAGAGGGCGTCCTACCCAATGGTGGCAGTCATGGATTTAAGAGAGAGGGCGTCCTACCCGATGGTGGCAGTCATGGATTTAAGAGAGAGGGCGTCCTACCCGATGGTGGCAGTCACGGATTTAAGAGAGAGGGCGTCCTACCCGATGGTGGCAGTCATGGATTTAAGAGACAGGGCGGCATACCCGATGGTGGCAGTCACGGATATGAGAGAGAGGACGGCTTTCCCGATAGTGGCAGTTACGGATTCAAGAGAGAGTGCGGCCTTTCCGATTGTGGCAGTCACGGATTTAAGAGAAAGGGCGGCCTTCCCGATTGTGGCAGTCACGGATTTAAAAGAGAGGGTGGCCTAGGTGAGATATTCTAAATACTGTTCATTCTCACACACATTAATTCAAAAACACAATTCTGAACCCATAATGTGTTTGCGTAAGGTGGCTTACTTGTCTCGCCGATATCTGATGTTTTCTAAATTTTATCACGTGTTTGACGCCATTTTTTTACAAAGTGACTAGTTTGACCAATAAGTAATTAACAAAACATCTCACTGGTGAGGAAGCGGGACATCAGTTGAAAACCATGCTTTGGAAACATTGTCATGTAGATTTGTTCACAGTAGGCTACGTTTATCTGGTAAATACATGTATGTAGACTTTCTTTACTTAAATTTTATGCCGCACTCAGCAATACTCCAGCTATATGGCGGGTATGTAGACAGGTCATACCTATTCAAATCTGAAACTACAGTTTCGGAGTAAAATGTTTTGACCTCAGAACACCCAGCCGTTTACAGTCAGTACAGGCGGTGGGGGTAGCCTAGTGGTTAAAGCGTTCGCTCCTCACGCCGAAACCTTGGTTCGCTTCCCTAAATGGGTACAATGTGTGAAGCCCATTTCTGGTGTCCCCCGCCGTGATATTGCTGAAATAGTGCTAAAAGCGGCGTAAAACTAAACTCACTCTCTACAGTCAGAACCTTGCAAACAAACACACTGGTGATGCAAAAACATATTCTCATTAATAGATGTGCCTTTACTCTTCTAAAATATCTTTCAATAACAAAGAATTTATTTAACGTTTTTTTTCAGAACTGAACCCCTCGCCACTACCCCCGGGTACCCATGATTATGACTCACTGTGACCACAGGTACGGGGAACATTTATTGATATAACTTACCTCATCAAGTTTTTCTTTAGGGGTCCTTAATCTGTACTGGGCGAGGTTTACGTTGACGGTGTTGTGCACGTTTGCTGTCTGCAGAAATCAGAATAACCAAATGAAAAATAAATGTAACACTCAATTTTATTTAGCGTTTATATGGAGAAATTTCTTCATAGTGAAAACGTTTGTTGTACACGTAATATTACAGTATATAGGTACACTGACAAAACTTAAATCGATCGATATTGCTGAGTGCGGCGTTAAACAACAAAACAACCAACCGGACTCGAATATTTAAAGACTGTCGCCATATAGCTGAAATATTGCTGAGTGCGGCGTTAAACAACGAACCAACCAGCCGGACTCGAATATTTAAAGACTGTCGCCATATAGCTGAAATATTGCTGAGTGCGGCGTTAAACAACGAACCAACCAGCCGGACTCGAATATTTAAAGACTGTCGCCATATAGCTGAAATATTGCTGAGTGCGGCGTTAAACAACGAACGAACAAACAAACAAACACAACAGAAACAATGTACTCAGAAGGGGATTTAAACTATTTCCGGGATGTTGTGTATGTTTACATTTATTTGTGGAAGCGGCGGTGGCTGAGTTGGTTAGACCGCTGACTTTGTGGGCTGGCGATAAGGTGCCTGACTCTGAGGGTGTGGGTTCGAATCCCGGATGGGACTCAACCCATCAAAAGTACCAGAATCTGTACTTTACTGAGAAAGTGTAATCCTAAATATAACATTTGTTACATTTGACCACTTTCCAAATAGCATTGTGTATTCATATGGTTACATTGTTTCAATATTTAAGACTTTCTCACCTCAGCACATCTCTGTACAATTCGGCCAAATTCGGCTTTGTCGTCAGTAAGAAGTTTCGTCCCTTTGTCTGGAAATTTATTCTGCAAAAGAAATATATAGTTTCGATTATATTACATTGCCGCAGAGTTGGGGGATGTTGGAGTTGAACACTCTTTTCAACGGTAGTCTGGCTCTGATTCAGCATGACGTTCAGATGTTGTTTAAATGTCATTCGTAATCACAAACCGGTGCAAAATCTCTTTCGCCCAGTTAGTTTGCAAAGTTATCTTTACGAGAACAAAGTAATACGTTACCATGGGTTGGCACTGAATTCTGGTAGGTCAAAGCTTAGTTTCATAATTAGAATGTTAGTATTTGACTCTCATGTTGTCACAGCCTGTTTTTAGTTGTAGTGAAATAGCCCAATAAATGAAAACTACCAGGATTAATTCCCTAAATGTATAAACTTAATATTCATAGAGACCCGTGAAGATCCGGGGTAGAATAGGTCTTCAGCAACACATGCTTGCCCCAAAAGGCGACTATGCTTATCGTAAGAGGCGACTAACGGGATCGGGTGGTCAGGCTCGCTGACTTGGTTGACACATGTCATCGGTTCCCAATTGCGCAGATCGATGCTCATGCTGTTTATCACTGGATTGTCTGGTCCAGACTCGATTATTTACAGACTGCCGCCATATAGCTGGAATATTGCTGAGTGCGGCGTAAAACTAAACTCACTCACTCACTCACTCATTCACTCACTAATATTCATAGAAATAAAAATAATCGATTCGGGTACCTGTTATAATATTAATCAATAATGTGATTATATCACGTTCTTCGTCAGGTGTTAATGCACTGAAAAACGTTAAAACTGTATTGTTCGATGGGTTATTTTTGTAATATTAGCAAAATGGCAAACAAAATCAAACTAAGCTGTTTGTAGTTTGTTATAAGGTATTGAAACACAATAATGTCGCCGTTCGAGTTCGAATCTCATTCCATGTTTTTCGACATGGACTTTACTACAAAAGATATAATGCTTAAAACATGATTATGCTTTTTCATTACGGGTCAGTATATTAGGCATGTAGACTCTGCGGATGATACATTTTGTCTACATGAAATCATAGATCAGAAAAAAATGCTAGAAGGAGAAACTGAACATATACTGAACAGCAAAAGAAACGCGTGTTTCGAAAAAATGAAATCTCATAAAAGTAAGCGTTCATGTTAATGTCTTCTATTTAAAAACTTGACAAAAAGCCAGAGTTGCGTTTCTTTTGCTGTTCAGTATAGTTTTAAGATAGTTCTCTTCTCTTCACCCTCCCAACCTCTCGGCTTGTTTTCGAGGTGTGGAGGTATTTGAGCAATATAAAGTGTCCTTTATTATGACGTTGCTGTTACATCCGACATACAATATTCAAGATATGATATTCAATATAGACTTATACTTTGCTAAAATGTATTCCCTTTTAATGCATTTGTGGGACCGCCTCCGTGGTGTAGTGGTTAGAGCGTCCGCCCGGAGCGCGGAAGGTCGCGGGTTCGATCCCCGACCGCGTCATACAATAAGACGTTAAAATATGGTACTTGTTGATCCCTGCCTGGCGCTCGGCATTAATGGGTACAACAAGGACTGGTCGGCTCGGAGTCAGTATAATGTGTCTGAGTGGGGTATTCATGCTTCACTGCGGCATGGTATCTCAGTGGGCTGGCACTATAAAACCAGCTTCAGTCTGGGCTAGTACAAGCAGCCGCACATACACATACACACGCATGCACGTAGTCATATGAGCGAAATATTCTCAAGCACGACGTAAAACCCAGTTTCACCTCACCTCACCTTTAATGCTTTTGTACAATATACGCATCCTTGTTAATATCGGTCCATTGCTTCCTAGCCAGTTGTGTATGCGACTGCAGAAATCAGCCCGGCGCTTAGCCAGCCAGGTTGTTCGTGTAAACCCGATAGGCTACAAAGCTTCATATTTAGATAGTATTGAGGGCTTGTCCAACCCTTTTAGCAGCAATCATGTGTAAGCCCGGGCTTTTTTTTATAATGACAGCTACGCCCCTCAGTGTTAGCAGGTCATTCTCGCTGTTTTGCGTTTATGCTCAAAATATCTTGTGAACAATTGTATTGTGAAATGTCAACCTTGTGAAGCTGCAAAACATGTCCAATTTCTTGTAAATATTCAGGAAGGCAGGTATTCCTGCTGCTTGCGTCCGTATGAGTGCGAGCAGGATGTGCTGCTCGGATAAAACGATTAAAGTTCAGCTATCATGGTCCGTTTGAACTTCGCCACCTCATTAGAAGAAGAATCTCCGTATATATGGCTGAACATGTGAAGTAGTTCAAGTTACAGCAGGTGAAATGGAATCTCCTCGCACCACCTGCTCAATCATCGCAAGCATAACGATGTGCGGAGTCTCCAGATGTATTCATGGCGTTATTGTTTACAATATGTTGTGAGTGGGTGAGTGACTTTAGTTTTACGCCACTTTTAGCAAAATTCCAGCAATATCACGGCGTGGGACACCAGAAATGGGCTTAACACACTGTACCCATGTGGGGAATAGAACCCGGGCCTTCGGTGTGAAGAGCGAACGCTTTAACCACTAGGCTACCCCACCGCCCCACAATATGTTGTGCTTTACATGGCGATGATACGCTTGCTTTCTACCAAGAGCTAATTCGCTCGAGACGTTGCCAACATCGTTGATGATTTCACATCACATTTCAGTCCCAAAAGCATAACACAAGGACACTTGTCCCGTATTGACGAGAGAACCAGAATAAAGTTTGGCCGAAAACGAAAAGACTTAACATATTTCACAGCAAGTACAGTTCACCCGTAAAAAATCCAAGTTGAAATTGATTTTCTCGACAACCGGATGAATCACGGGCCTGACTCAGGGTTGATGGCTTTCAGACCGTCGCCATATAAATTGAATATTGCCGAGTGCGGTGTTACCCCAAAACAAACAAACCTGTCCCAGCGATCTGAAATGTGGAATGACGCGTGTGGCAAAACATGCATGAATAGTCAGACGATCTTTGCCCCCAGGTCTGATAAGGACTGATAACTGACTGACTGTCTCAACAGCTATCTGTCTTGGCTCGCCCTATCAACGTGAACATGTTGTCAACAGAAAACTCTTTCACAATATTAAACTAATTAGACGATAAGAGTAACCAAATTCTTCAATGTCAAGTGGGATTTCATATTTATACAACATTCAAACACGTACGCACTCATTCTCGCACACGACCACGCACGCACGCATGCACTCACGCACGCATGTACACACACACATTCACAGGTAATGTCAGCTGAAGTGATTTATTCAGCTACTTTATGTCACGAAAGTCAGCATCGGCGTGTCACACAAACACGCTCCGGTACGTTCGAGCGATAGGTTTTTTTTTTACATGTTGATGCGTTTGTTAATTACCTCAAGATAGAAGCAGATGGCGTTTGACTCGTTCACAACAACGTCGCCATCTTTGAAGGTTGGCACCTGAAACAAATTTCATGCATTAGAATGTATTTATGGTTTTCATTATGACTATAGTGTCATTACAAAATAACTACAACCTCATAAAATCCGATTTTTTGTTTCTTATAAGTAACCTAGCGTCCAAAAGAAACGCCCCCAAATATTTTTCTGGTCTAAAACAAACAAAAGCAAATAATGGTCACATTAAATGTTTTATTGTAAAAAGCGATCATTCAGCAACAGCATTTAATGGATGACAAGAATAAAAACGACGCAGCTCGTGATCTACTGGCACATGAATGACATTAGGGTGCATTGTCCAGTATTCGTTCACCAATGCAGAATCGACTGGGAGCTCTTACAACTTTCTGGGCAGCACATATTGTTCAATACCGGGTGTGGCCAACCCTAGCAGTGATGCAGGCCTGAACCCGGCGTAGAACTGAGTAGATGAGTCTTCTGACGTCTTGATGCTACAGATGGGGGCAACACAAGAGCATGTGGCTAGGACCATGGGATGCTGCAAATCCACCATCGCCAGACTTGTCACACGTCTACGATAGACTGGCAGGACTGCAGACAGGAAAAAGAGTGTGACAACTCTGGCGATGGTGGATTTGGAGCATCCCATGGTTCTAGCCACCTGCTCTTGTGTTGCTCCCATCTTTAGCATACTGATTGCTCTCTCCGTCTGCTCTGGTGTTAAACGAGGCGTGCTCCTGGTTGTCAATCGAGTAACATGATCTAAGAGAATAAACCTGTTTTTTCCCCACAAAATACGAAATGCAAGTCCAAGTGTTCACTGGGAATAGACATGTTGTGTTCGAGAGATGTGTTAGCTATTTTCAAACATATTGACAATCATTTTGACAATTTACAATCATTTTTAGTTTGGTGGCGTTTCTTTTGGACGCTAGTTTAGTATATGTAATATACTCTCAGTGTATAGTTGTATTTATATCAATAAAAGAGTTTAGAAAATATTTTAAAAACTAATAAAAAGAAAAGTAGAAACTTTAGAAATACCTGAGGGAGTTTTGCTGGCATTCATATAATGAACACCCAATATGGATTTCTCATGTCTTCATTTACAGGGAGTGATTTGTGCGCTTAGAGTAAGGAATACAGAAATAAATGAGGGAAGGTAAAAATGGAACATTGAGAGAGCGTGGGAGAGTGAGGAACCGTCTTCGCTCGAGTCACCCGAGACGACCAATTCGAGGGATCATTCTGACGAATCAGCTTCGTCGACTGCGAAGTCATCGGTATAAAGGACAAAGAGTAGGGCCACAGCAGCCATGGAGACATATTTGGTTTAATGAAGAGTCATGACTTTTACTTTTCCGTCCAGACGGAAGACATCGAAAGTGCATTCAGGAAGTGGACAGGTTTGACGGCGAGGATGTAATGATGTGGGCTTCCATCTCCCACACCGGGAGAGCAGATTTGGTACACGTCCAGGCGGCACAACGTTACACAGATGGAATTCTATGGCCCCGCTCTTATCCCATAATGAAACAAGCAAACGCCATATTTCAACGCGCCCTCACGCGGCAAGGCTGACAAAGGCCTTTATGAGGTACATGGTCCTCAATGTCTCCAGATCAAAACCCCATCGACCATTGATGGAATGCTCTATATCAACGTCTTCGATCACGGCGGCATCACCTCAAACAGTTGACACAAGCAGTGCAGGATGAGTTTGTGAACATTCCCCAAGCTACAATTCTTAATCTGAATGGTTCCATGGGGCGACGATGCCAGGCAGTTCTGAACTCTCATTTCGATTAAGTGCATACGAAATACTTTGTTGGTAATAGACAATGACAAAGTAAATTCTTCACATATGAACATTTGCGTCCAAAGCATGCGCCCGGTCATTCTGATATGCCACACCTTACTCAAATAGGTTAATTAAATATGTACATAGTAAGCCCTTGAACTAAGATGGTCAACATAACTCGAATGTTATATGTACAGTTATTCGTTACAATGGGATTTCAAACGGATCTGACGATGCACCTTTAAGCCCCATGACATTAAACCACCTACCTGCCCGCGTGGGTTGAGTTTTGTTATCTCCTCCGACTTGTGCTCCTTGTCGCTGAAGGAAATCCTCTTATTCTTGTAGCCCGAGAGTCCCTTTTCTTCCAGAACCAACATGGGTTTCCAACAGGGAATGCTCCCAGACCCCCAGTACAAAAACATGTTGGACGCCATGTCTGATACGCACAGTCGTTAGTCTCAACAGACTAGTGTGGACCCAATGCACTCCCTAGATATATGCGGTGTCTCGGGTAGGAGTGTCAGGGCAGAGGTCAAGGTCAACAAGCGATTTCAAACAAGTTCAGACTTTAAACAAATATGAATGAACGGTTTATTTGCAACGCAGTAGAATGCTGGGCTACCCGTAACTCCTCCAATAGCGGTTTTACAGACGACATACTGCATTCTTAGTGCATTCTAAGTGCATTCTTTACTGACCCTAGAATTATGTACCTGGAACCAAACCCCGTTGGGGTTTTTGAGCAGATGCCGTACGCATGTATGGTAAATGTTGAAAAATACAACAGTTACTAGTGTCCAGTTACTTGTTTCCCTTGCCTCTGTATGCGCAACGGCAATCTGAGACAGGTTTGTATTTGGATGTAGCGGAAAGCTGGAACTGGCGCTTGTCTTAGATTGTCACCACGTCTCACATCACCAACGTCTTACACCGTCACGTGGATTTTTAGGTTGATTTATGTTTTATTGTATTCTCTGGGGTACAGGTCTCGGCAGTCTAACGTAAATAATAAGCTGTCTGAAGACATACAAACCGAAACATGAGTCTCATTAACCAATTCAGACAATTGCCTACTTTTCAGCCGATCCGAATTTTCTCGTGTGAAAGTGAAAAGAGACACTACAAACAAGTATGGTTACACTAAATTCCAATTCCTTGTTTCATAAGAAAATGGTATTTACAAATTAATTTTAAGTTTAAACTTGTAAAAAAGTCGTACTTCTATATTTAATGTCGAGGTTTAGGCCGTACGTCGTTAACTAAGAAGTCACCGACTGCCCGTTTGAAGAGGTCGTACAATGATTCACAATTCATCTGGGTCACCGGTTACACCTGCTGTTATGTGTTCTATGTGCTTTTTTAGTATATTTTTGAAATGTACAATGTGATTGATATAATATCAAGTCCGTACCAGACCGCCAAACGTTTCTAGCGGCCGAGCCTCGTTTTGAGATTTCCACGATTTCCAGATTTCCGTTTGTCAGAGCACGCTGTACGACAGAGCACGCTTCACAACGTGTTTGCCAGGATTAGAAGGAGCGCAGTGTTGCAATATACCAGTGCTTAGATGTATCAAATAATACTGATTAATATTTATATATCCAGTTGAATGAGTTGGACTCAACTTTCTGGACTGGTTATTGTACTAAGTTGCGCAATAGGACGGAACCCAGTCAGCAGGAAACGAGACATTTGTGTAATCAATGTTTTGACTTGAAACTTTGGATAGAAACAAATATTTCCTTTCACATGGAAAAGGAGATCCAGTAAGATGTGAGATTCAGAACCTGAGGAAAACTAGACTGGCTTCATTTTAAGGCTTTAGCATTGAAGAAAGGGCTGGACGGAAGGGAACATACCGCGGTTCAGGGACTGTGAGACAGAGAAATGTTAAGCTGGTGGTCTTATCAGTCACATCGTCTCGGTCACGTTTAGAGGCCCTTGATATTAAGCACCTTCGTATTCATTAATACCTTCTGTATAAAGCTTGTTTGATAGGCATATTTAGAAGTTGGGTAATGATAAAGTAGCAATTGTATTGATTACACCTTCTTTAATATCTATATCTTGACGTATTGGTATAAATCATTATACCGTTAGCAAGCTATGTTTAAACACAAACTTGATAACTTTAACGTGAATCTATACAATTGCGGCTTCAACATATTTTTCTGCCGCTGAAGGAAGTCTTCTTGTTGGGGAGGGGCGTAGATACCATTATAAAAAAAGCCCCGGCTTACATGATTGTTGCTAAAATGGTTGGGCAAGACGTCAATACTATCGGAATTAAAAGCTTTGCAACCTATCGGGCGTACACGAAAAAATTGACTTGCTACGCGCCTGTCCGGGGTAGCCTGTTTTTTTCAGGGCAGTGTGTTCACTGATTGCAGCTGGGATTATCAGTTCAAATGTCAAGGACGAAAAGCAATGTGAGACAAGGCCAATGTCACTGTGACTAAAATATTACTGAACAGGGAGGTATAATCTACGGGAGATAACGATAGAAAATGAAATGGTCAAGTTGCCCTAACGCCCAAATACCATACCATAGAAAACTATCAGAGATACGGAACGATAGGGTAGGGCTGCGTTGTTTACATTGTCAGTGCCATGGAAAATGTACTGGATTTTCAACATTATGATGGAAACTTATTGGGATTGTGTATTTGTATGTAATTTTTGTGGCTCTTTCTAATTGAAGTTTGCAAATGTATTCCATAGTTTGGTAATTGGTAATTGGCTGTCTCCGGTAAGAATGTCACCGTAACGTTAAGGCGCGTGTGTGTGAAATATGATTCACGTTGGCAATCTATAAAATGTGTAGATACTACAGTCATGTTATAAAGTCACTATAAACAGAGAGTGTACGTTTTATTAAGATTCAAAATGCATACAAATCACAGGCGGATCCAGAAGGGGTAATGCAGAGGTGCGCACCCCCCGCCTTTTGTCCTGAAAGTTAATTAAATGACCATTGAAACTCTTTTGTCTCAGACCACTTTGGTAAACCCGCAGGTATAGGTGCTGATAAACCTTGAAACATAATCGGACCAAACCGAGATTCGAACCAACGTTCTTGCCAACCCAAGTGACGCAACTTTGAACAGAGAATGGCGGCGCCATCTTAGCCCAGAGAACCTCCACCGACTTGTGCTCCTTGTCGCTGAAGGTAATCTTCTTATTTCTTTTCTTCCAGAACCAACATGGGTTTCCAACAGGGAATGCTACCAGACCCCCAGTACAAACACATATTGGACGACATGTTTGAAACGCCCAGTCGATGTGTAGTTTCTCGTTACAGTGTCGAGAGAGACCTGTTACAGCGCTGTTGTCGGTGTGCGAGGGTTCAGCGAAGTGTGTCAGTCAAAAGGTCAAAGACGACAGGCAATGTCCCTCAAGAAAAATAATGAACCAAATTCTGTACAGAGAAAACTCACAACGGGTTGTGAGGAGGCCGCATTGTAAGGGAGGTAACTGTAGCGTTTCTTCAAGAGTCTCGCTTTGAATGTTGAAACCGCCTTTGAAATTGTTGTCGCTTGCGGATGAGGTGAACAATAATTTATCAACAGTTTAATTTTGTATAATAATTTATTACTCAGAGAAAAGAGGTATGACATGCGAATGTAAATGAAGTCCAAACCACATACGATTACGATCTTTTGAAAATATACTTCACTGCTCAAGTGGGGCTGTTGGGGAAAACCTTCGCTCTTCACGCCGAAGACCCGATTTCGAGTTCCCACATTCGTACAATGTGTGAAGCCCATTTCTTTTACAAAATCACTTTGTATCACTCACTCACTCATTCCTCAAGTCTCTGATTCACTATCGTTGTCACAGTTGCAGCCAGGAAGCAACTTTAAAAAATAAAGGGAAAGTTAAGTAATAGTTTATTGTAACAATGAAGGTACAATAGGTACAAGACTATCTGTAAAATATACTGATATATGCTAAGTATAGCGAAAAACGTGGATAGTAATATCTCAGGCTTATGATTGTTTTCGATTAAAAAACGTTGCTGCCACGGATGTCGTTCTTTGGTTCGGCATGAAGTGAGTGTGAACTTTGATAAAAACCTAAATCCGCTTCGACCAGTGAATTTAATATTTATTTCAACAATATTTGTGTCGCCCGTACCGTGGTATAGCAGACGTTATTGCACGCCCCGATTAAGGTTCATAGCTGGGGTGAATCGTGATTATGAACTAAAACGAAACTCTTCGTTTGATTCCACTAGTCCAACCATGTACCATATCAGAAAACGTTCGTGTGTTACCGTGATTTTTAGATCAGAGTTGATTGCAACGTAAAACCCAAAGCAATTCATACATGGATCTTGTCAAACATTTCGCTAAATATATGTACAATATGACTTTGAAGCCAAACTAAAGCTGTTGAATTAACAGCGTTGGATAATATGAGAAGCTGCAGCTTTTTGTCGCCATTCTCAACGACAGGTCCTAAATAGGTCTAAACATTGAAGTGTCAGCGGGCTTCTCAGCCCAGTGTGGCGGCCATGATGCTTTCACGGATGGTCTGTCCTTGACCTTGTCGTAGTAGGCACTAATAGCGGGGTATTTCGAGACATCAAGACCGAGTCTCACCCCGAAAGCGACATATGGGAAGAAGAAGACATCCGCCATGGTGAAGTTGCTGCCGACGACGTAGCCTCCGCTCTGTAGTGTGAAAGGCATTATCAGCATGATGGCAAGAACATTTTCGTCACCGTTTTCATCGGACACTTACGCATGACAAGGTGAGTGAGCGAGTTTAGTTTCACGCCGCACTCGGCAATGTTCCAGCTATATGGCGGCGGTCTATAAATAATCGAGTCTGGACCAGACAATCAAGTGATCAACAGCATGAGCATCGATCGACGTAAATTGGATACGATGATATGTGTCAACTGTCAACCAAATCAGCGAGCCTGACCACCCGATCCCGGTAGTCGCCTCTTATAATATACGACAAACATGGGTTACTGAAGACCGATCCTAATCCGGATCTCCACGGGTGAATCACACACCAGGTATGGGGGAATCATACACCAGGTATGGGGAATCATACATCAGGTATGGGGGAATCATACACCAGGTATGGGTGAATCATACATCAGGTATGGGTGAATCATACATCAGGTATGGGGGAATCATACACCAGGTATGGGGGAATCAAACACCAGGTATGGGGGAATCAAACACCAGGTATGGGGGAATCATACATCAGGTATGGGGAATCATACATCAGGTATGGGGAATCATACACATCAGGTATGGGGAATCATACATCAGGTATGGGGAATCAAACACCAGGTATGGGTGAATCATACACCAGGTATGGGTGAATCATACACCAGGTATGGGGGAATCAAACACCAGGTATGGGGGAATCATACACCAGGTATGGGGGAATCATACATCAGGTATTGGGGAATCAAACACCAGGTATTGGGGAATCAAACACCAAGTATGGGGAATCAAACATCAGGTATGGGGAATCAAACACCAGGTATGGGGGGAATCAACACCGGGATGGGGAATCACACATCAGGTATGAATCAATCATACACCAGTTATGGGAATCATACATCAGGTATGGGGATTCCAACAACAGGTAGTGGGGAATCAAACACCAGGTATGGGGGAATCATACACCAGGTATGGGGGAATCATACATCAGGTATGGGGGAATCATACATCAGGTATGGGGAATCATACACCAGGTATGGGGGAATCATACACCAGGTATGGGGGAATCATACATCAGGTATGGGGAATCACACACCAGGTATGGGGCAATCACACCAGGTATGGGGGAATCACACACCAGGTATGGGGGAATCACACACCAGGTATGGGGGAATCATACATCAGGTACTGGGGAATCACACACCAGGTATGGGGGAATCATACACCAGGTATGGGGGAGTCATACATCAGGTATGGGGGAGTCATACACCAGGTATTGGGGAATCATACATCAGGTATTGGGGAATCACACACCAGGTATGGGGGAATCATACACCAGGTATGGGGGAATCATACATCAGGTATTGGGGAATCATTCATCAGGTATGGAGGAATCACACACCAGGTATGGGGGAATCACACACCAGGTATGGGGGAATCATACACCAGGTATGGGGGAATCACACACCAGGTATGGGGGAATCACACACCAGGTATGGGGAATCATACATCAGGTATGGGGGAATCATACATCAGCCATGGGGGAATCCTACATCAGGTATGGGGGAATCACACACCAGGTATGGGGAATCAAACACCAGGTATGGGGAGTCATACATCAGGTATGGGGGAATCATACACCAGGTATGGGGGAATCAAACACCAGGTATGGGGGAATCATACACCAGGTATGGGGGATTCCAAATACAGGTATTGAGGAATCATACATCAGGTATTGGGGAATCATACATCAGGTATGGGGGTTCCAACAACAGGTTTGGGGAATCATACATCAGGTATGGGGAATCACACACCAGGTATGGGGAATCAAACACCAGGTATGGGGGGCCATACATCAGGTATGGGGAATCATACACCAGGTATGGGGGAATCAAACACCAGGTATGGGGAATCATACACCAGGTATTGGGGATTCAAAATACAGGTATTGGGGAATCATACACCAGGTATTGGGGATCATACATCAGGTATGGGGATTCCAACAACAGGTATGGGGAGTTCAAATACAGGTATTGAGGAATCATACATCAGGTATTGGGGAATCATACAACAGGTATGGGGAGTTCCAAATACAGGTATTGAGGAATCATACATCAGGTATTGGGGAATCATACATCAGGTATGGGGATTCCAACAACAGGTTTTGGGGAATCATACATCAGGTATGGGGAATCATACACCAGGTATGGGGGAATCAAACAACATGTATGGGAAATCAAACACCAGGTACGAGGGGAATCATGCACCAGGTATGGGGGAATCAAGACAAGAACATGTATTGGGAATCAAACAACATGTATGGGGGAATCAAACATCAGGTATTGGGGAATCAAACACCAGGTATTGGGGAATCAAACACCAAGTATGGGAACCAAACATCAGGTATTGGGGAATCAAACACCAGGTATGGGGATTCCAACAACAGGTATTGGGAATCACACATCAGGTATGGGGAATCATACACCAGTTATGGGGGAATCATACATCAGGTATGGGGGATTCCAACAACAGGTAGTGGGGAATCATACACCAGGTATAGGGGAATCATACACCAGGTATGGGGAATCAAACAACATGTATGGAAATCAAACACCAGGTATTGGGGAATCAAACATCAGGTACAGAGGGAATCATGCACCAGGTATGGGGAATCAAACATCAGGTACAGGGGAATCATGCACCAGGTATTGGGAATCAAACAACAACAGGTATTGGGGAATCAAACAACATGTATGGGGAATCAAACACCAGGTATTGGGGAATCAAACACCAAGTATGGAACCAAACATCAGGTATTGGGGAATCAAACACCAGGTATGGGGGATTCCAACAACAGGTATTGGGGAATCACACATCAGGTATGGGGGAATCATACACCAGTTATGGGAATCATACATCAGGTATGGGGATTCCAACAACAGGTAGTGGGGAATCATACATCAGGTATGGGGGAATCATACATCAGGGTATGGGGGAGTCCAACAACAGGTATTGGGGAATCAAACAACATCAGGTATGGGGAATCAAACAACAACAGGTATGGGGAATCAAACAACATGTATGGGGAATCAAACACCAGGTATGGGGAATCAAACATCAGGTATGGGGAATCATACACCAGGTATGGGTGAATCAAACAACATGTATTGGGGAATCAAACAACAGGTATTGGGGAGTCAAACACCAGATATTGGGGAACCAAACAACAGGTATTGGGGAATCAAACAACAGGTATGGGGAATCAAACAACAGGTATTGGGGGAATCAAACACCAGGTATGGGGAATCATACATCAGGTATGGGGAGTCCAACAACAGGTGTGGGGAATCAAACAACAGGTATGGGAATCAAACACCAGGTATTGGGGAATCATACACCAGGTATGGGGGAATCAAACAACAACAGGTATGGGGAATCAAACAACAACAGGTGTTTGTGGGAATCAAACAACATGTATGGGGGAATCAAACACCAGGTATTGGGAATCAAACAACAGGTATTGAGGGAATCAAACACCAGGTGTTGGGAATCATACATCAGGTATTGGGAATCAAACAACAGGTATGGGGAATCAAACACCAGGTATGGGGGTACATCAGGTATTGGGGAATCATTCATCAGGTATGGAGGAATCACACATCAGGTATGGGGAATCACCAGGTATGGGGGAATCATACACCAGGTATGGGGGAATCACACACACCAGGTAATGGGGAATCACACACCAGGTATGGGGTAATCATACATCAGGTATGGGAGTCATACATCAGGTATGGGGGAATCATACACAACAGGTATGGGGGAATCAAACACCAGGTATGGGGGTCATACAACAGGTAGGTCATTGGGGGAATCATACATCAGGTATGGGGATTCCAACAACAGGTTTGGGAATCATACATCAGGTATGGGGGAATCATACACCAGGTATGGGGGAATCAAACAACAGGTATGGGAAATCAAACACCAGGTATTGGGGAATCAGGGAACATCAGGTATGGGGGAATCATAAACCAACAGGTATTGGAATCATACACCATGTATGGGGAATCAAACATCAGGTATTGGGGAATCAAACACCAGGTATTGGGGAATCAAACATCAGGTATGGGGGAATCAAACATCAGGTATTGGGGAATCAAACATCAGGTATGGGGAATCAAACAACAGGTATTGGGAATCACACATCAGGTATGGGGAATCATACACCAGGTATGGGGAATCATACATCAGGTATGGGGAATCATACAACAGGTAGTGGGAATCATACACCAGGTATGGGGGAATCATACACCAGGTATGGGGGAATCAAACAACAGGTATGGGGAATCAAACACCAGGTATTGGGGGAATCAAACATCAGGTATGGGGGAATCATACACCAGGTATGGGGGAATCAGAACATCAGGTACGGGGAATCATACACCAGGTGGGGAATCAAACAACAACAGGTATTGGGGAATCAAACAACATGTATGGGGGAATCAAACACCAGGTATGGGGAATCAAACACCAGGTATGGGAATCAAACATCAGGTATTGGGGAATCAAACACCAGGTATGGGGGATTCAACAACAGGTATGGGGGTACATCAGGTATGGGGAATCATACACCAGTTATGGGGGAATCATACATCAGGTATGGGGATTCCAACAACAGGTAGTGGGGAATCATACATCAGGTATGGGGGAATCCATACACCAGGTATGGGGAGTCCAACAACAGGTATTGGGGAATCAACAACATCAGGTATGGGGAATCAAACAACAACAGGTATGGGGGAATCAAACAACATGTATGGGAATCAAACACCAGGTATTGGGGAATCAAACATCAGGTATGGGGAATCATACACCAGGTATGGGTGAATCAAACAACATGTATTGGGGAATCAAACAACAGGTATTGGGAGTCAAACACCAGATGTTGGGGAACCAAACAACAGGTATTGGGGAATCAAACAACA